GGAGTATTTCACAGACACAATCATTCAAGCCCTCACAACCGCAACAAGACGCCGCACCTGGGAGTCGTTCATGTCATGATTCCCACGTCTCTTCCCTTGCTGTCTAACTACCTGTATGCATAGCATTTCTCCCACAACCTCGTGTTTGTTTGTGTCGGTCGTCAGAGAAGAATGTGACCCAAATCATCAATCAAGCCGGTCCTCTCCCGGAATCAGTCACTCGAATGCAACGCCAGCAGCCAGCCAGAAAAAAGTGCAGGAAAACTTGTCCGTATTGATGTTGATCTACCGCAAGCCCAAGGAATGACGCAGTGATCGCCCGTCCTCGCCCATGTATCCACCATCTCTACAGCCCACAAACACACCACGCAAAGCCCGTCCTCCGGAGCGGAGAAAGGCTAGATGGCGTACTTGCGGGTCCACTCCCTGGCAGTCGACTCGTATTGAGATCGGTTCGTCTTGTACACATGTGCAATCTCGGGGACAAGTGGGTCGTCGGGGTTGGGGTCGGTCAGCATGGAGCAGATAGAGAGCAGGACTGTAGCGGGATTAGTGTCTCATTTGAGGTCTCAGGTTGCAGTACAGTGCTGGCGTACCTTTGGAGATGGTCAGGGCTGGGGACCACTGGTCTCGCAGAATGTCCAAGCAGATGCTGCCATTGCTGTTGATGTTGGGGTGGTAGATACGTGTGGTGAAGTTGACCTTGGGAGGCTTGAATGGGTAGTCTGTTGGGAAGTGGATTGCGAGGAAGAAAACACCGCCGGAGTATGGGGAGTCACTCTGTGAGAGATGGTCAGCGACGCATTCCACTAGACAAGACCGAGCTCGAGGTGAGGTCCGTTCGACGCCAGCCCGAGTCAGGGGACAGGTGTCCGGGATAGTGTCTCGAACAGGTGGCATCGAGGACAGGAGTAGTCTGGGTGCAACTTACAGGTCCCATGATCGTCGCCTGCCAGTGAAACTGTGTGCCATAGAGGGTCAGTGATAAGAGCTCCAGATGATCGATTCTGCTATCGTGACGGGTCGCGTGCCGGGTTGGCTCGATTGCGAGTGATGTGGGCGCTTATCGGGAATAGGGCGAGGGGCAATGCGTACCAAATCCTCTCCAACGGGACCAGCGGAGCATGACGAGGGAGGGTCACTATCGGCAAAAGGTCAGCGAATCTTGGTTGCGATGTGTATGAGGCTGTCTCTCCTGCCGGCCTTGTTCGCATCGTGGACCTGCACGGCTGAGTGATTGTGGTTTGGAGGTTCACAGCATTTGCCCCGCCCAAAGCAGCAAACACCCCACCTTGCAGCGTGCGACCAAAGAGACGGCTAAGGGAGATGGGCGAGATGACATACCGTCCCAGGTCAGTGAGTTCCTTGTTGATTCGCTTGAGCGCCATCTTGTGTGTTTTTTTGAGGTTGTGGAGGTTGAGGTTGGTGGCCTCGGGGTGGTTGATTCGGGTTGATGATTGAGAGGAAGAAAGAAGTCGATGGGCTGCAGATAGTGTTTTAACTCAGGTCAGCAGTTGGAACCACGCAGAAGGTCAGTGAATCATCAAAGGGCGGCAGGCAATTAAAGTCAAAGACCTGTGGCTAGGCTGCGTGCAGGTTGGGTGGATGGATGGTGTACAGGCTGGACTCACGAGGAGAGAGATGTGTGGCGGGGTGGGATGATTGATGGTATCGCAGTCTTGGGTCTGGGAGCGGATTACAGTGAGAGTCGGGAGCGAGAAAGAAGCAGTCGGTGATGGGCTGGGCGGGAAGGTCTACCAAGACTACTGTGGTGGCAGTAGGGTGAGCAGGGCAGGGCGGGTAGGGTAAGGGGACGAGAAAAATCGGAGAAGAGTCAGTCAGGCAGTCACGGAAGGTGGCAGAGGTGGATTGTTGTTCCCAGTTCCTACCGACACCTTGGCCAAAGTGGTGCAGCAAGTGGGACAAAGAAGACGCCAATGCTTGAAAGGCCGCAGTGGATTTGACCTGACCTGGGCCTGAAAAGCACGGCCCCCCCTACCAGTTCCCCCGGTCCAGTTCCCCCTCTAGGCCCTCTCCAGCCACCGAGGTGCCTCTCTCTCTCGCAGCAGTAGCTGAATACAGGCCTTGGGCGGTCACCTCGCCAGGTCATTGGGCCTTCATTCTTCCTGCCCAAAGAGCACCTGAGCGCGTGAACATGTATCTTTGACCTGCCACAGCATTATTAAACATGATCAGGTATTCCACAGCTGAAATTAGCACAAATGGTACCCGATTGCAATAGTACACCAACACCAACACCGCCACCCAGATCCTCTACCAACTAGGCTGGGCCCCAAGAAGTCTGACTGTTGATTTCTCAGCCTTACCGATGTTTGCCTCCCTGCCTCCTTGGTCAGGAACCCAGGCCAACATTAACAACCACTCAGAGAACGGTCTTATCTGCCAGGAGGCGAGAGAACCTGGCATGCTCTGCCAGAGCCCAGCCCGAGTCGTCAAGTTCAGCAATGACGTCGATCAGTCCGTCGCCAGGGGCGCTAAAGTCAGGGGTTCAGGGATGGACCGATGAAAGGGGGCCCGGCGCGATCCGATCGTGTGCCGGACTGGCCGGTGCGGTCCCGGGGAGGAGGACGGGATGATTTTCATACTGGATCTTGAAATTGTAAGAATTGTATTCATTGATTTGCTAACGTGTCACGTAGGAGACCCTTGTGGGGCACTCCGCTTCTGTTCAAGGGATAGAGATGGAGTATACCCAATATCATCCCTATTGTCTCTCACACCCAGACACAGCATACTCACGGGCAGCATATGTACATATTGATCGCTAGATACTACAATTCGCACACTCGCAAACGGTGAGAACACATCCTCAGACAAAGGCCTGGATACCAGTAATGGCTCTGCCGAGTATCAAGCCTGTATGGACGCATTAGTAGATTCATCTTGAGGATTATAAGCAATACTAGGGACCAACTCACTGTGAATATCACTCTGGCCCTCATAAGTCTGCGTGACAAACAAGTTCGCCACGTGCCTGCCGATGCCATACTCATCACTGACAGCATTGCCCCCAAAGATCTCCTGCAGCACCCTGGCATTGACCAGCGCGCGGTCGCAGTTCTGCCTCTTGACCATGCTGATCATCTCGGGCGTGGCCTTCCCCTCGTCCTTGAGCCGTCCGACCTGAATAGCGGCCAGCATGCCGTACGCGGCGTCGGTGGTGGCGTCGGCCAGCTTGCGCTGCACAAGCTGGTACTTGGCGATCGGGTTCCCCTTGAACTGGCGGCGCTCGAGGGCGTAGGCCCTCGCGCGCGATATGCAGTCCTCGAGGGCGCCGACGGTGCCCATGGCGATGCCGTAGCGCGCGCTGTTGAGGCACGAGAAGGGGCCCCGGAGGCCCTCGACGTCCGGGAACATCATCTCGCGCGGCACCGGCACGCCGTCCAGGTGGATCATGCCCGTGATGCTGGCGCGCAGGCCGTTCTTGTGCTTGATGGGGGGCGTCTCGAGCGTCCCCGGCGGGCACGCGTCCCGCTCGACCAGGAACCCGCGGATCTTGCCCGTGTCCGCCAGCTTCGCCCACACCATCAGCACGTCGGCGATGGGGCTGTTGGTGATCCACGTCTTGGACCCGCTCAGCGAGTAGTAGCCCTCCTTGGTCGGGTGCGGCCGCGCCGTCGTCTCCATGCTGCCCGGGTCCGACCCGTGGTTGGGCTCCGTCAGCCCGAACGCGCCCAGCACCTGGCCCTTCGCCATCCCCGGCAGGAACTTGTCCTTCTGCTCCGCCGTGCCGAACTCGTCGATCCCGCCCATCACCAGCGACGACTGCACCGACATGCCCGACCTGTACCCCGAGTCCACCCGCTCCACCGCCTTTGTGATCAGCCCGCCCGCCACCGTCGACACGCCCGCGCAGCCGTACCCGTCGATCGTGGCGCCCAGGAGGCCGAGCTCGCCCATCTCGGTCAGGATCTCGCGGTGGTAGTTCTCATCTCGGTAGGCTTCTATATGTTGTGCGGCGCAAAGTCAGTGGAATGCTCCTAGAGCGTTCGAGGGGATGCCGAACGGGGACGGTAATGTGGTTGGTGCGTTGCGTACGAAGGACTCTAGGCAGAAGTTGCTCCTGGCAATACTTCTCCGCCGTCTCTGAAATGGCCAGCTCCTCCTCCGTCAGCAGGTTCTTCGCATTGAGAGGGTCCTGCCAGTCAAAAGGCGGCGCGGAGGATGCTGCGGCAGCATAGCTTCGCCTGGCGCCGGCCCGCAGTGCTGGGGCGCTCTGCCGGGCGCATCTCGAAAGCAGGGCTCTGGACATGGTCGTGAGAAGGGCAATTGGTCCCACAAAGAGTCAAGGAAAAGTGTAGAAGAAGAGAAAGAGGCCTGCAGAGGGGGGAGAATGCCCTTTCTCCTCTCCACTCGCTGCGCCGAGGCTGTCCGGTCTCGGTCTCGGTGACGCCAACGACAGGAGCGGGCGGCGGGAAGAGCCTCGGCTCATCGACTGCTGTGGCGCGGTAGGGCGGTTTGTCCCGTTCGGCCCCGGATCCCTTCATGCCTCATGCCACAGCCAATTCAAGGTTGTCTGGTAAGCATGCCTGTTGCAGACTACATTCGCCCAGCAAAGTAATAAAGAGAGGAGGACGCGTTGATATGGACAGATGATCCTGATCCAGGCTCCCTCCAACACTTTATTGCAGATCATCTACCGAACCTAGGTTTTTGTACCCCTCCTGACAAAACCCCCAATCGATGAACTGCATGTGTTTTTTGCTTCTCAATTTTGAGTCTCACCTCGTGTAGCAACCGCCATGGATCAATACAATGTTTCTTATTATCTTTTATTTCATATTCATATTCGTTACATGGAGTTCCTATTAATGCCTATTCCACACACCCACCCCTCGGCAGATGACATTGCAATGAATGATTGAGCGCCCAACACCCGAGACAACAAGGCCTCGAGATCCTTTTCACAAAGCAGTTACATATAATAACATAAAAATGTACTAATACTAGGCCATCCAAGACACGGAAAATGAACCATCCTACAGCAGGAGGAGCGCCCCGAAGGCAACGCCGCACAGCAGGACAAACATCTCCACGAACCGGTCCATGCTCGCCCCGGCGGTGACGGGCATCGTGGGTGCCGCATTCTGGGAGCCATTGTTTGCCGCGCCTGTGCCGAACGCGCCGTTGGGCGGCGGTGCAACGGGCCCAGAGAAGGGCGCGGCGTTAGGGGGAGCTGCCGCGCCGGGAACGGGAGCTGCAGCAGGAGGAGCAGCGGCAGGAGGAGCAGCGGCAGGAGGAGCAGCGGCAGGAGGAGCAGCAACAGGAGGAGCAGCAGGCTGCTGGATGGCGCCCGCGTTGCCCGTCGGCTGCATCTTCGCCACGGTCTGAGTGACGGCGACGAGCAGCGTGGTGGTGTACTTGGCGGTCTTCTCGACGACGGTCTTGACGGTGACGGTGCTCTCGGCCGGGTTGTACGGGATCTTGCTGACGGTGGTGGTGACGACTGGCGTGACGACGCCGTTGGGCAGCGTCGTCGTCACCGTCACCGGGCAGGGCGTCGTGAACACCTGGGCCGTGACGCACGTCGTGCCGATCGGCACCGCGTAGACCGTCACCTCGGGCGCGCACACCGGGCAGCGCGTGATTGTCGACGTCACCGTCTGGTAGACCGTGTTGGTGTATGATGGGAGCACGGGACCAGGTCCGCCGGGTGCGCCGGGTGCGCCTGGCACCGGGCTGAGGGTCGGCGTCGGCACTGGGGTACTTGGCAGCGTCGGGACCGAGACGCCTGGTGCCACGATGATAAGCTCGATGGCGAACGTGTAGGTCCCTGCCGGGACCTGCCTGCGGCCGAGTCCGTTCGATCCCGTGGTAGGCTGGCCGGCTGTCACGGTGATGACCAGCGGTCCAGGGGGGTAAGTAAGCGGGACCGTGCCGAAGAACGATGTAATGTTGGCGTTGTACAAGAGGAAAGCCGGCGAGGGGATATAGGAGAGCGCCTGGTCGCCGGGGCTCCTGAGGAATGGTGCGATGCTGATCACGAATGCCTGGCCGGGGATGAGAACCACGAGAGTCGCGATCGGAGCGCCACCGGCAGCAGTTGAGCTGGGCGAAGCTGACCCGCTACTCGAAGACGTTGGCACAATGACTCCTGGGGGGAACGAGGTCTGAGACGGAGAGCCTTCGCTACTTCCTGCTGCACCCGAGGTCGAAGAAGACCCAGGGCCCTCTGATATGCCTGAACTCGTTGGAGGCAGAGCACTAGATTGACCTGAGCTTGTTGAGGGAGAAACTTCGCTTGTTGAGGGAGGCGTAGTTTCTCCAGCACTGGTGCTCTGGGATGGTATGCCGCTATCAGACGGGCTTGAGCTCTGAGGAGATGTAGGTCCTGTGGTGCTCGAGCCCTCGGTAGGATTGACGCTCCCACTGTCGATGGAACTTGCAGATGTAGAGGAGACATCTTCCCCGCTGGAGGTCGCCGGAGGAGTTGCAATCACATCAGTGCTAGAGCTAGTAGCAATGTCTACTGGAGCAGTGGTGCTACTCGACGTCCCTCCGACAACAGCAGGCGCAACGCCCGCGTAGTAGCTGTACAGGAAGCCGAGAGTGGTGAGGTCGATGCCGCCACAGTATTGATTGCTGTATGGATCATCACAGTTGAACGAGCAGTCCGCATGCCCACTGTCGGGGTACAACTTGTTGACGACGGGAGGGGAGGAGTAGCCCCAGCAGGAGCAGAACCTGGACAAGGTCAATAAGCAGCCTTCTAATTCGTGGAGGGTGAAGCTAACTGGGCAGTTATGGCCGCGTACGAATAGCCTAAGCCATTGCAGAACGAGAGACACGGTACCGGGCCCTGCGGATACAGCTCGGTGGTGTTCTTGATGGTGGAAGTGTCGAGGGAAACGCAGCCCTGGTACGAGAACTGTGCCTTCACCCCGAGGGCCAGCAAGGCGGTGCCGGCGGCCAGTGTATGCAGTCTCACCATATTTGGTCGACGGTTGCCTTCACCGATGGGTTGGTGTCTGGAAAGAACGAATGAATGGTCGGTCGGTCGGTGCGAGCAAAAACGAGTAGCTCAGCAAGCCCGCACGTAGAAACGATTGTTTTATAACACCACCAGGCAGAGAGAAGGAAGGGAGGGACGAGAAACAAGACGCAGAGGCAGCGCGAACGCGGTCCATGGTCCTTTTTTAGTCCCGCGCATCGCAGTGCACGGCGAACCAGGACAGCCACAACAAGGCAAGACAAAGTGTGCCCGACGCGTTGCTGTTGAGATGGCGATGAGTTGATGGCCAATGAAGGGATGCGAGCCGAGACAAACTCGTGGTTGAAGAATGGGCACCTTGCCGATGGTACGGCATTCCGCATTCCAGTGCCTGTCGGAGGAATGCACAAAATTTCTCAACTGTCAACAGAACCCAGATATTAATTTAGCATCGCAATCCATTCCTGCAAAAGGTTCTGGATGTCATCGCTATTCTTCTCTAGAAACATCATGTGTCCATTGCCATGAATCCCCGCTGCTCCAAGCTCGACATATTCCAGAGAACTGCATCCTGCCTGTCGGAGATAATCCACGATGCAGTAGTCGTACTGCGCATGGAATGACGACTCTGATGTCACCACCAAAAAGGGTTTGCCAGCCAGGTTGACCAACTTGCGAGGTGCAGGACTATCCGCCTGCAGAGTGCAGTTGACGTGATCCTCGTCAAGCGCCGCAACGGTCTGCTTGACCAGGTCGACGGCAGGGTCAGTGACTGGCGGGTCATACGTGAGCGGGATATCCGCAACTCCCCAGGCACGAGCAGAGCCGTTTCCTTGCACGCCCGCGTTCTCGAAGGGCGGGCCAGATGGCTCCAGGAGTATCAGGCCTGCCGTGAGACCTGGGCGGGCGTCCGCGATGACTATCGGCAGCTGACCCCCTGCGGAGTGTCCCACAAGAATGACGGGCTTTCCAATTCCGTCGAGCAGGGCAGCACCCGCTGCTTGGGTCTTGTGTTGCTGAAACGTCAGGTTGGATGTGTACTGCACCTGGGAGCTGTAGAAGCGATCGAATATTGGGTCTCCCATTAAGCCGGTGCCGTTCCACTGCGTATGCAATGCTGCCTGTGGCCAGAGGTTGTACTTCTCGCTGGCGGTAAAACGCTGCTGCAGGTTCTCAGCCGCAAAGGGTGGATCCAACTCGGGTCCAGTGGCTGGTTGCCATGTCGAGCGACCGCGTGACGGCTGGTCGACGAGATAAAGCTCGTAACCTTGCTCGATGAAGCGAGATGCCCACCCTCGACCGCCGTCGGGCTTGTTCAGCCAATTCTTTCGGAGGTCAGCCGGACGCGTAATCTCCCATTATCTCTCGAAGCTTGGGACGTCCCACTGACCGTTGCTGTCTGTGCCGCGCCGTGCAAGAACACTATGGGATGACGTTGGGTGACACCATGCACGGGGACCAGGTGCTCCACGTAGATCTGGTCTTGGAAAATATGCTCTCCGGCGCTGTTCTCGGCGTACTGGCCACCGGCCTGGATGTAGCTCCGAATCATGGGCGCCTCATCTTGGGAGGCTTGGGCGAGCCCAATGGCACGCGTCTGGAGGGCACAGGCGGCCAGAAAGAGGGTAGCGAGCATGATGGAGCCGGGTTCCGCAGACCGGTGTGTTAATGCGATAAAAAGAGCGACCAGGATGTTTTCGAGAGAGGAGCGTCGCTGCCGACGTCGTTGTTTTATGTGAGTCGTCGGTGGGCCGGGATCGTTTGCGCCTCATCCACACCCGCCCGTCCAGAGTGTCAGTCCGTATTACTTGGCGCTAGACTGCGCTGCGGGGAAGCTGGGTGGGCCCCCAGATATACCCAGGGCCAGCAGGGCAGAAGAGAGAGAGAGAGACGTTGCTGTGCATTCCGTTGCAGCGGGCCGCCGATCCTGTCCTGTCCTGTCATCGGAGCGGATCAGATTGTGGCATGTATGTGAGATCCAGAGGTCCGCAGGTGGCAGTTGTCGATGGTAGCACGAGGAGGCTTTTCGGGAGCGGTTTGGGTCGACAGGAACTTGACCGGTCGAGCCTTTTGTCTCTGGGTCAGCCCGTGTTGGCCGTGCTGCCGACCTGGCACGATCGGGGTGTGGAAGAGGTGAGCCGAAGGGAGTGAGGTCGGTCTGCTGGTCTGGGTAGCCTTTGACCAAAAGCCGAGCAGGAACCAGGGAGACTAGATAAATAAGGTCAAAGCCCGCCGATGAGAGGCGTCCAATGGCGTCAGCAACCAGGACGCCAATATCCTGGCGCAGGTCATCCATGAGACGACATTCGTGCTTGTTTGACAGGAGGAGGGTGTTATGTGTGCAGCAAGGCCCAGCAAGGGCGCACATACATTTTTTTACTACAGTACTACCTAGACATGCATGTGCTACGTGTGTAAGTACGTATGTCTATGTAGATATGTATGTATGTACGTGTGTAAGTGTGTACGTGGTGTACGTGGTGTATATGTATGTACGTACAAGGGGGGGGACAAAGAGACCTGGGATGAACGGCAACGGCATCGAGGTGTGGTGGACCTCTCCTTGTGCTTCCTTTCCATCCATCCACCCACCCACCCACCCATCCATCCCTCCCTCCTGCATCTGCATGATGATTGCCTGCCTGCCCACACTGTTCGTCTGCCTGCCACCAGTTGAGCTGTCTGCCCTGTCTCCCCTGTCGCCTGTCTTGTCCGTCTGACCCTCTGGCCGTACACCACGATAGTCGCATGGAGCCCTCCCTGGCCCGTCAGCTAACAAGGCATACTCCCTGATGATCTGCTGCCTCTGTTCGGACTGTTCCCCAGCGGATCCTCCCGCTGAGAGGCATCCCCCCGCTTTGCCAGAGCTCCGCCAAGCCTGTCGCCTGTCCAGAGGTCGACCAGGGTGTGATGGATTTGGATGGGAGGACAACGATAGGACAGCATGGGGCGGCATGGAACGGCATGGGGACATGGGGACAGAACATGGATGCCTGCAGAGGTCTGTGGCGAGGCGATACCGGTGTTCTGGGCCAGGAACACCGGGCGACCCAGGCGAATACACACCCCAGACACCCCAGACGCCCCAGACCCAAGAGAAAGACCGCCGCCAGACACCAGACCTTGAGACCTTGTACACCTTGGACTAACCCCGACCGACATCAACAATCAATCACCACCACCACCACTACCACTACCACCGCCGACCGACCGTCCCGCCGCCCACCAACCCGCCCAACCAGCAGCCGCACCAGCAATACGGTATCATTGCCACGAGAGATGGCGCTTACATGATGACACGGTATAATTGGAAACGTGCGCCGATCCGGTTCAGTTGATGACAACCAGACCCAAGCAAGCCAGCAAGCCAGCAAGCCAGCCAGCCAGCCAGCCGGGAATAGCCAGCACACGGGCGCACAACAGCCAGCACGCAGCACGCGGCACGCAGCACACAGCATCAAGCATCACCGCATCAAGTATCAAGCTTCACAAGCGTCCGCGTCCGGCATCTGATTCCACCGTCCCTCCCCCCTGGGAATTACCATGAACCCGGGTCAACCTTGACAGAATCTCAGATCCGGACTGCCACAAAACAAAAGCAAAAAGGTCGCCAAAGCAGAACACTACGTCTCAAGCGTTGTCTCATCACCATCTCACAAACCCCATCGGCACACCCCAACCCGACTCTGACAGGTCTTGGACACAACGCACAGTAACAAGCATGATTGCTCGCCAAGCAAACCAGGGCTGCTGGACATGCAAGAGTGAGTAATCGCCCTCTGCCTCGAGCTTACTGTTGTTCTCTTTGTTTCTGTTGTTGTTGGCCTCGTTGTCGCCGAGTCATGCCCGCCTCTTCCTTCTCTGCCCTGCCCTGCCCTGCCCTGCCCACTTGATATTGGTCTGCCGTCTGCCGGTGGACCCTTCTCCACCATCTGTGCCCCGACGGCCCGCCCGCGTCTGCTCCGGCCTTCCCTGCTCTCCAATACTACGGGGCTCCTGCTGACACCCGGCTCCTACTCTTGCGAATAGAACGGAAAATCGGGTGTGATAAAGGCTTGCCCTCATGCAACAACTGCGTGAGGACGGGCCGAGAGTGCATGGGATATGGCCTCCGGCTCGTCTGGCCTGATATTCCAGACGGCCGCAGGAAATCACCCAAACTTTCCCTGCAGCACTCGCACGGCCAGCTGCAGGCGTCCGGCTTGTATTACGGCGAGCAGTTCCTCAACATTTCATTCGACGACATCGAACAGAACCGTCAGGATGTCAGCACCTTAACCCTTCAGGACCACCACGCCCGCCCTCAACAAGCCCTGACTCTTCACCCCGACTTGATGGGCCACGAATCCGATTTGCTCTCATATTGTGAGTTGTCGCTTTGTCCCCTTCTTTTACGTAGTAGTGCCTCTGACACAGCCTCCAGACGAACGCAAGATCGCTCGTATGATCTCAACTGTTGATGCCAACAATGGCTTCCGCCTCCAGCTTCTGCCCATAGCCATGAGTGGCTCCAATTTTGCCGCCAGGGGTCTCCGCAGTGCCATCCTCGCCCTGTCAGCATTCCACCGTCATGGCTCCGGGGCTGCCTTACCCTACAAGATCCAGGCCCTCCGACTTCTGTCTCACTCACTGGAGAAAGAGTCGTACGTAGACGTGCCTATTGAATCCCAGCTTGCGGCTTCCATGATGCTTTGTGTATACAACGTAAGCCCGAACTCCAAAAGACCGCTACACCCATCAGTCACAGCTGACACCGTCAGGTTTTTGACGAGGGGGAGGGCAAATGGCATCTCCACCTGAACGGCTCAAGAAGCTTGCTGCATCGCTATGCCGAAATGAGAGGAGGCACACTCGACTATGATTTTCTCAACACGTGGTTTCTTTACCACGAAATACTGGGCTGTTTCAGTCAGCCACACAAGCATAATTATGAGGGCGCGTCATCGCTGGACCTGCTCCAGGGCAGTGACTGTGACAAGACAGTCATAATAGGCTCTCTTGGCTGCTCAGTGGAGATCATGGAAATCATCCATCACATCAATCAGCTGCGGTACCCAGCAGGGCAAAAGTTCCACGACAAAGTTGGCAGATCCGAGCTCCCATCTGTGATGTGGACATGTCAGGGGCTGCAAGACAGGCTGAGCAGGCTGAAGCAGCAGTTGCCGCCCGAATACGCCATACATTCTATCAGGGAGCGAACCAAGGTCCAAGTGACCGCCGAGCTCTACCGGATCGCAGCCGTCTTGTATCTGCGTGCTGTCTGCCCAAACATCGATGCAACGAACCAGACGCCACTGTGGCTCGAGGAAGGTTTCAGGCTACTCTCGAGCCTGGAGATCTGCACGAGCCCTTGGCCCTTGTTTGTGATCGCTTGCGAGTCGCAGGTGGACGACCAACGGATCACAATCCTGCGGACACTAGACCGTATGGATGCTGATCGGAAGATTGGGAATGTGTTTGTCCTGAGGAATCTGATTGAGAAGTACTGGAAACAGCAAGATCTTCAGGCCGACGGTGACCGCGCCAAGCCGTTGAAGTGGTGGGAACTGATGAGCTTCGACACTGCTGCGCCATGGTTCATTTGACCATTCCCAAAACCTGAAAGAACAAGACCTCATGTTACAGTAACGAAACAAGAAGGACGGCAGCAGCTTCCCTGGAACCGTTTGGATCCTTCTATCCGCTGTTCTTCTACCAGCCAAAGATCCGTCAGTCATATGAGTGACTGGTCGGTTCATGATCCCGCCGCCGAGATACGTTGAGCGACATCTGAGGCATCGCGATATGGAGTATCTCGTTGCCCATCACAGAATACGATTTCACTGAAGGACTTTCCAGCAAGATGAGTATTGCTTGACCTTCTGGTCCGATATGAACAACCGCTACAAATGGTAGCAAGGGTTTGGAAAAAGCACGACCACACCCACCAGACATCACTTAACTAAGGAATTTCGATATGTATAGATACCCGGGCTTGTTCGATGGCCTACCACCACCATGGCGGCTGTTGCAAGCATTTTATGGATGAACCAGCGTTTTATGGAGAAGTGACCGGCTGGGATTCTTAGTGTTAACGATCAAAAGTGATAAATAACGATGGCAGAGCGACAAATTTTCTTTGTGGAAGAGTCTGACACTGGAGCCGGACAGGAAAATTTCACCACTTCGATTCTGTGGACAGGAGTTGAGAGGATCAAAATTTGAAGCAACTCACTTGGTTGTTGAGAAAGCTCCGATGGTCTCTCTTGAAGAGGTTGTACCGAAGGAAGATGGGAAGACTGGCGTGATGAACTTCAAGGACTGCAGTATCCCTAGTAATGATATCAATGTCAACGATTGTCTCCCTAAGAGCTACGCACCACGTAGTCTGTCAACTGAATGAATTTTGAAGAAGAAAAAATCGTGTCAGCCTTTCAGCATACTCAAGATCATGTTGCGCCAGGCTGGAGTGGACGGTCGAAGTCTCGCTGACGTGTCAGCCGGAACAACGAGGCGTTGAGATCGAACGACACACTCCCCCCCCCCCCCATGCTCGAGTGTACGGGAATCAGGGAAGACAATCCAAGAGCCAACCCCGAGTGACCGAGACGGACCGAGAACAACGCACGCCCCAGTCACATCCCGCCACACCCATGGAAGGAAGACAAATCAACACGTCAACGAAAACCAAGTTCCCAGACATGAAGCCAGCCCCAAGACCCAGACGTTCCCATGACCTCCTCAAATGAGCACACGTCGTCCCGAGGAAACACACCAAAAAAGCCCCGTGCACCAAGAGAAGGCCCGAAGACGGAACCGAGCAAGCAAATCCCGTGAACCCATCATCCCAGCCCGTCCATCCGGCTCACCACGGCCGGAGCCCCAGCCCGACAGCTGCCAGAACAAGCTTAATATCGGATCGTTCGCGCTAAGATCTAGCCCCCAGGTTTTCCCCCCTCTCGCCCTGGCGCCATTACGACCCAAAAACCTGAGCCAAGGGCCGCCGTTCGGCCTAATATGCCGTGGGGAGCGGGTCTTTGGCTGAAAGGGGTAAATGTCGAGAGTTTGGGTTTTGGGGCTGGCTTGCATGTGTTATGTTGGTCTGAGGACTATACATGCTATGGACTAAACTATGCTGTCTGACTATGCGTTTTAGCGTGAGGGTGTCTCAGAACGTAACTATGGTGATGTTAAGGTGAGGGTGCTGACGAGCCTCTTTAGCATCAATGGATTACCAACCCACCGATCTGACTCCCTCGCTCTATGTTCATCTGCCTGGATTTCTATACCTATTTAAAGCCCAACGTTTGCCTCGCTACCAAGGTATCGAGGCCTTGACTGATGAGAGTGTGGATACAAAGAGGGCGGCGAAACAATAGCTAGAGTTAAAACACCAAACGACTCAGCGACTAGTGGAGATATCTTCCAACACGCGCATTGACGGCTCTCCAACTCATTATTGCCTGTGAATAACTTGGACGGGTGGGATGTGCAAGATAAGCATAACAGGCCAGGTCGATCCCGAGGTCAGCTTATCCCTCCCCAGCCCGGCTGTCATCCGGACACCAAAACATCAGATAGATTAAAGATTCGGGGAACCTCAGGGGCGACCTGCAGGGATCCACAGTCTGACGCTGGCTCGGCCGACCACGCGTACCGAATCGGGACACCTGCCCGAGGGCAGACGACTTTTCCACCAACGCCTGCCTTCAATTGCGAGTCAAAACCCATGGCGGGGATTGGTCCCTTATGTTTCGACGATCTCTAATTCTGGGCGCGGCTCCAATATAGATGATGTCGTACCATAGCTCCCATCGTTGCGTCAACCGCGCGCCTCCCACTGCCGAATCTGACATCAGTCCCGGGCTTGCACGAGGTGTGTGTGGCCGCATCCGTCTGTCATTCGAGGATTCTTTCTGGACATGAGCTTGTCTCCCTTGCGAGCGGACGTGGCATGGAGCCCAGGGCGGCCGGCTCGCTCCATCTATCTGCCTACCTGGGCACACTCCTGAATTATACTCGTGAGCCCGAATTCTGGGACCGGCGTGAGCTGTCAGACAGCCTAGCCAGGGCCCCCCGACCCGCCCGCGCAACGGTTCCCGGCGACCGGCTAGTCGAGGCCAACGGACTCTGCCAGACATCTCGGCGATACTACGACGGCGGCAGCACGGCAACGGAGGCTCAGTGGCCCTCTTACTCAGAATCACATCAGCCTTAACCAATTTGAATAAGCTCTGGAGCCATCCCGAATGCTATATTGTTATTGTCGAAACGGGCCGTTTCCTCTGCCCCATGGAGGGGTGTTTAGCCTCCGAGACCCAGGCTGAGATTACTCCCAAGTCCGTAGTTTGTGGGGCTCTTTCAGGCAAGAAGTGGGCCAGCAGTCGTTTGGAAACGCGGAGGCCGTATAGTCAAGCTCTATTTGTCTATTAATACGGCCGTGACAAGCATTAACTCCGGCCCACAGGGCGAGCTACCCTTGAAGGTGGGCAATATGTTCGGGACGCGGAGTAGCAAGCTCTGTCGCCTGGCGATAGCTTCAACTGTCTTTGGTACCAGGGTATACAGGCTCTGAGTTGGAGGAGGCTCTTTTGTATATAAACCTCGAGCGACTCCCTTGGTGTCCTCCGACTTCAGTTCATAGCTACAAGTGCAACGCTCAGTCGTTTTCTATCCTTTCTTTCTATCAAAGGCTTCCTTCTCTTCAGCCTACTTGCTCAAAGCCCGGGTTGTACCTGCGCAATTATTTTTCTTTTTATTTCGCCTACGCTCACTTATCAAGCCTAAAACTTTGTACAATATGGGCTACTCTAAAGTCCTCGCATTCCTGGCAGCAGCCGGCCTGCCCCTGACGCAGGCCGCCGTGCCCACCATCGAAGGCTTCACGCTGACATGGTCGGACGACTTCGTCGGCACGGCCAACAGCCTGCCCAACACCGCCAACTGGCTCTTTACCACTGGCACGTCCTACCCGGGCGGCGCCGCCAACTGGGGCACGGGCGAAATCCAGACTTACACCTCCAGCACCGAGAATCTGGCCCTCACAGGCAACGGCACCCTCGGCATCACCGCGCGCAAGGACGCCTCGGGCGCGTGGACGTCGGCCCGGATCGAGACGCAGCGCACAGACTTTGCGTGCGCCGCCGGCGGCAAGATGCGTATCGTGGGTAGCCTCTCGCTGCCGCCGCTGGGCGAGAACGGGATCGGCTATTGGCCAGCCTTCTGGGCTCTTGGTTCACAGTTCCGCGGCAACTACCAGTAAGAACTCTCCTCTGTTGACGGCGAAATTCGGTCCATCACCTCCCATGAAAATCCATCATCCGTGCTGACCCTCTTGACCACCAGGAACTGGCCCCAGGTCGGCGAGCTAGACATTATGGAGAACGTCAACGCCGTGAACAAGTTGTACGGTACGCTGCACTGCGGGATCAACCCGGGCGGCCCTTGCGACGAGACCAACGGCCTGTCGGGCAACACGGTGCCCCCGACGCCGATGCAGGGCAACTTCCTGCAATACACGGTCGAGGTGGACCGCACCGACTCCTCGCTTGAGGCCATCCGCTGGTACCTGGGCGACACCCTGTACTGGCAGGTGACGTCGTCGATGGTTAACAACGCCACTGCCTGGAACGACGCCGTTCACGGCTCTTATTTTGTCCTCCTCAACTTCGCCATCGGGGGTTCGTTCCCCGATAAGGTCTATGGGAGCACGACGCCTATTGCTAGCACCGCGTCGGCTGGGACTATGTTTATCGAGTATGTTGCTGTTTACAATAGTGCGTAAGTAAGTCTCATGGACAGCATTGCTATGCTGGGGCGATGAATCTACAACTCAATACGTGTGACGGCCATGAGTCTGTAGACATGATGGCGGTGGAGCTCAAGACTGGACTTGGTCAGAAATGCGTGAGACCGTGCGATGGTAGGACAAACCCCATTCAATACTTCATGTACTACATGATATTTTGTGTATATATATACTCTTCATACTTTCTTTGGACAAGCTCCAAACAAACCATTTGTTGTACAATTAACTCAATGAACAGTGTTCAGAGCAGAGTGACCTAGTTCATGCTCACACATCATATTAGTAGTGGTGTTCGACTTGGACATTCATTGGTTGAGACACAAAGGCTCCTCTTGCGTTTCATTCACGAGGGGACTGGAGGTATAAAGCAGGCTTGGACCCTCCTCCTTAAATGGACGTTGGGCAGATCCGCTGATGTGCGACGCCATATAGGCCCCAGCCTCCCCACCTCTCTATACATTAGAGATAATGGCAGCTGGTTCCGTGGCACAGCTCACGTGCCTATGAACTGCCCCGCACCTTCTCATTCAGCTCGCAGTCGCCGAGTGGCTATGCCTCACATTATCAGCTAACATCTTGCAGCAGAAGAGCCTGAGAATCCTTCATTGAAATTTGTTGCCACCAACTTAGTTCCAAGACGAACACTCAAGATGCGGCCATGAGTCTTTGCAAGTATTGCGAGTTCATCGATTTGCGTGTCACGCAAGATAAGTTTAAATGGTTTCCGCCTCTCAATGTGGAACATGATCTGCAATCATCACATTCGATGTGGCTTTCTGCACAGAACGGCTGCCTCGGATGTCGCTTCTTCCTCGATGTGCTCAGACGGGAGATCAGCGACACAACAGACATGGACAATTTCTTGCAGCGGGAGCAGAGGATCTGGATCAAAATGCCATTTTCTCTTTCTACTCACATTAAGAGCGATTTCAAAATAAACATCAGTCTGGATATATGTCTTGTTCGAGGTGCCAAGTACTTTTCTCAATTTGTGCAAATATTTTGCACCCATGGCTGACTTGACATATACCGTAGCCGAACATGACACGCGTTTCATAGCACGCCACCAAGGCCCCAAAAGACCAATTCCGCAGGACCCCTCGTCGGAGGTATGCATGGCGATGGCCGCGAGCTGGCTGGCAGAGTGCGCTTCTCACGAAGACTGCCCGCCACAAGGAGTCGTTCCCCTCCCGACCCGCCTAATCGAGATGACCCAGGAAGGTCAGTTTTGCAGACTGCACCTCCCAGATCCGGGAGAGAAAGGCCACTATGTTACTTTAAGCCACTGCTGGGGTCATGGCGTCAAATTTACCCTGAATAAGGCAAACTTCGTGCAGCTTCAACAAGCGATCCACACCGAAGATCTCCCGAGGTCTTTTCAGGATGCTATTACCATCACCAGGCGCTTGGGGTTCCGGTTCTTGTGGATAGACGCTATATGCATCATCCAAGATAGCGAGGAAGACTGGGCTCATCAGTCATCTCTTATGGCGGGCATCTACCGGAATGGGAGCTTGATGATATCTGCTCTAGCAGCATCAGACAGCCAGCACGGGATACTAAGATCCCGCAGCGTTCTCCGTTCCCATCATTTTGGGAGAAACAAGGAAATGGTCTGCCAGACAATATTAAACAATACCTCTTCCACGGATGGTCCACTCCATGGTAGGGGCTGGTGCTTACAGGAGAATATTATGGCACCACGGATCTTGCATTTCGGCCGCTTTCAGCTTCTGTGGGAATGTGTCAGCAAAGCTTGTGCTGAGAACTGGGGACTCGCTGGTATTGATGACGGAATTGGAGGCTTCCAAGTCTCAACAAGAAGGCTAGCCATGCCTTGTATATGGCCTCCAAGACCAGGCTTGGAAGAGAAAAGCCACGAGCCTGATTTCGACTCGAGACTCGTCGCGTTCTATAGCTGCGTCGAGGAATTCATGAGACGCAAGCTCACATACAGATCCGACAAGCTGCCCGCATTATCGGGACTCGCGTCTGCCTTCCATACCCCCGTTCTTGGCGCCTACCTGGCCGGGCTGTGGGAGAAAGACCTGGTAGAAGGGCTCAACTGGGCCCCGCTGGATGGTTCCGACGAAGACACACATGACAGCGGAGAGTACATTGCGCCGTCGTTTAGCTGGGCCTCGAAGCTTGGCCGCTGTGAATTCCAGATCGTCCGCGAGTTCGAAATTTGGGGGCCGAGGCTAAGACTTGGCCCCGAATCCTTGCGAAGCACACTGATGCCGCGGCTGCTCTCACATCGCATCGAGCTCGCGACATCCGACCCCTACGGCAGGATCTCTGCGGCATCCATCACGCTTCGTGGATACACCCGATTGCTGCTTGTGCGGCTCGATCGGTGCGCAACTTACGGGGCTTCTTTTGATCGTTATGGAAGGTTCGATGATAGGTTCCGGTGGATGTTTGGACCTCCGCACGAGTTCCTACCCCCGGACCACGAGTATGAGAAGCACGCGTCATCTCCGAGAGTCAGTGATGAGATCAAGCACTTCATCGCCTTGCCACTTCGCAAGACAGCCCACGGAACATTGAGGGGAAGTAGTGGACATATGGAGTTATCGATGCTAATTCTTGAACCCGTCGAGGGGCTGGAGGAAACGTATCGCAGAGTCGGATACGTTGCATTAAATGAGTCGGAACAGATGGACCCAACATGGTGGGAGGAGAGGACTTTGACACTCATTTGACTTCGTCGTAGACTTTGTTCGACAGCAAATACTCAATGAATAGTGACAGAGGTATGCACAGCGTGAGAATGCTGCAGGGCTTTTACCTTCTCACAACAGCCCGGAAACATAGTCTGGAAGCTCCTGCACAACCTTCATGACAAACTTAAGTTTACTGGCAGGCCCAGACAAAACTTTAAGGGATCTCATTCGCTCGTTTAGATTGGCAAATCCCTACTTGAGGGACTGATCGGGGCCGCGTTCAGAATAAACCTGGCTGTCTGTTGCAAGAATGTTGAAAGTTAACATTACCTATTAATTCACCATATTTATGAATAGACCGGTCATCTTTCCAGAGGTCAGCTGGAATGGAACTGGATGCAAAGTAACGCTGGGAAATTCTAGATGATAATTTTACTCTGATTCAAGTTTTAGCTTGTAGGTCGGTGTGAAATGGTCACTGATGCGGCGTTGGAAAGGCGCTCGACAAACTTTCCTGGAACGTCACCCATCAAAGCCATTGTTTATCATGGCAGGCATTTTCATCAGAGAAATATCCACCAACACTATTGAACAAAGGGGACAGCCTCATTCCCTGCCAAAAGAAATTTAACCAGGAATCATCCCTGGATCGACTCGAGCATGTCAGCGAGCATCCCAATCCCCATCGGCGCATCATCCGAGTTCGCATTACTCCAGTCAGTGTTGACAATGACAAAGCTGCTAAGGTTCCTCTCGAGCATGTCCGTCATCCAATTCATTGCCCACCTCGTAGTTAGGCGGCTCCCATCGAAATGGTGGATCAGCACAGAGGACTTCTCGGTCAAGCCATCGGCGGCGACAACATTAAGCACCGCGTTTTTGTAGAGCATGGCTACGCCTTCAAAGATGACGACCGTGTCGGCGATGCTGAAGTACTCGTCGTGGTTGGAGGCCTGCCCGATGTTGAAGATCTTGCGATACCCGCCTTGGTCTGCCAGCTGGACGAGCTGTTCCATGAAAGATACGTCATCTACGCCTCTTGCGCCCATCCAGTTTGGGGTCTCGTCGAAGAAGAGTCCATCAACCGAGATGTCTGCTGCCGTGTAGTTGTTCCATCCGTTCCAGTTTTCGATGTCGGTTGTGGTGTCTGCCAATGTCCTGGCCCCGTAATTGATAGGAACGTAGCCGTAGGTCTCGACGTTGTCGTAGGAATGGAGCTTGGAGGTTGCGTTGATCCAGTCACTGTTATATCCGGGAGTCGAGCCGCCAGGCCCGGAGTCAGGGTTGAGGATGATCTGGAAGTCGACGGACGGATGGGTAGCGATGGCGTCGTAAACACTGTCCCACCATCCTAGGGGGCTTGGATATAAGTACAATGGTAGCAGGATACTGGTCGCGGAAGCGGTGGTAGCTGATAACACAGCAAATATTGTGAAAAAGATCTGCATTTTGGCAAACTAAGTGTTCTTGTAGGAAACTTGCTCTAGAGCTAGCTATAGGAAGGTTGATAGGAGACGACTGAGGTTTGCGACCATGAACTTCTCTTTTCTGACATTATTGAATGAAATGTTTGTGCGAGGTCGAAGTGTCAGAAAACGGATGCGCCATACTCGAAATACCCTCGCAAAGTCTGGAAGCATCAAACAGCTCGGAACTCCGAATCCAAACACTTCAGTCCCCAGTCAAGGGAGAGAGGGGCGGGAAGACCTATCTGCCCATGGCTGCATATCTGAAGAAGGCACGCGTGGCTTGTGTGACAAGTTGCGACTTTTCATTTGGAAATGCCACGCGGGCAGTCACCCTCGACGTCCCGAGCACCCGAAGGATGGTCTATACCTGGGTAGCGATGGTTGGAATGAGGCGGGACGCCACGTTATCAAGACTTGGCGGCCCAATACCATGGAGCTTTGGACCGCACTTCTGGGCCACGATGCTGGCCATGAAGACTAGCCAGACTGGCGGGAATTCAACCTTTATATATGCAGGTTCTGAGTGACCTGCCATAAAAGGCCGGTTGGGGTGGCCCGTGCCGGGTTGCAACCATACATTAATAGTCCTGCAGTGTCCAAACGTCTTTAGCCGGTGAACTAAGCGAGCCAGAAGCTGTCATGGAATAAAAGTTTGGGGCCACCAATGGCATTTGTTTCTGGAAAGGAGAAAATACCCGACTGGAAAAGGGTTTTGTGTCCTTTCGAAGCGACCTGGCCCGGATGGCGTGCATGTCGAATGTCTGGTTGCGAGGATCGAGCGAATCGGAATCACTACGGGGAATAGTGCAATGCATTGAGTATTGCTATATAAATATATTGACAGGTCTAATTCTAGAAGCCCGACGACGCGCGGAATCCGAGCAGCTCGGTCTGGTTACGAACAGAGAGTATCGTACAAAATCACTATGAGAAATAGAAGCCTGTGCGACCAAGCTGGCTGTGGGAAAGTTTTAACAACAGAGTGGAAAGCACAAGGAGCGGTTTGAAAACGGGTCGCAGTATACCAGGCAGAGAAACAGAGCAGGTTTTAATGTCAATTGCGAGGGTTTGTGCACTCAATCAGTGACAGACGTATGAGTGTCGAGCGGGACACCGCCAAAATGTCTGATAGATGCGTAGTTTGGCAAACTTTCGAAAACTGCTTCATGAAATGTTCGTTTGCACTGGCCGACCGCAAACGCTCGCTGCGTGGAGCTGTAGACTGGCTGAGAGAGCTTGCGCAGACCTTGACTGCCTCCAGCTTGTTTTCCTTTTCAACACACAAACAGCACTCTGTTGCGGACCAAGAATCTGGGGATTGAGACAAACTTTACCTCAACTTCTGTCGCCATCTGTCGACGACGACACTAAAACAACAAACTCCTCCACCCGCCCGTGCGCGTACAATCTCACATGATACATGCCCGCCTAGAAAAGCAAGACGATCATGGCGCTCGACACTCGAAACCACTTCGATCGCCTGCCGGCTGAACTGTTTTCCATGGTCACCGAGCAAAGTGGCCTGTCAGTCAGCAGTCTTGCCGCTCTCGCCCTCACCAGTCGCCGCTCCTACAAGATGACCATTCCGATTGTCTACAAGAAGCACGTGCAGGAAGAGTTTGGATCTGCCAGTAAGTGACGACTGACGCAGACACTGAATCAAGATTACAACAAACGAAGCTAATTATGCGCCACCAAGTATATTGGGCCATTCAGAACGAACAATACAGCACGCTGGACCGACTCATTGAGCACGGCGTTGACATCAATCTGGATTTAGGGTTTGTCGTCTCTTTCATGGCTTCACGAAGATTCGAGCATATGTTGAAGCTTTAAATACCAGTTCGTTCACGCCTGTTGTAAGGGCAGCAAGCCTCGGACTGGATCATATGGTAGAATACCTGCTGGACCGTGGTGCAGATATTGAAGGATTTGGAAGCAACCTCTGCAATTGTTGTCACCCATTTCTTTACGCCCCACACCAGCTTCCCGCATGTCCGAGACTCAGAGAGGACGAGGACCATATTTCAGAGTGGACTGCTCTCCACTATGCCATTTGCAACGGCCACGGGTCAACCGCAAAGCTGCTGCTTGCTCGAGGCGCCTCCACTAGAGATGTAGGGGGCGGAGGTGTGACCGCCCTTCATACTGCGGCGCGCCAGGGAATGGAAAGCATTATCGATCACTTGATCGACAACAAGCTTGTGGACATTAATGCAGGAGATGTTGACGGGATCACAGCTTTGCACGTTTCCTATCGTGCTGGCAATTTCTCTATAGTGGACAATCTCCTCGACTCCGGCGCTGACATCAACCTTGCATTCTACAGCCCTGACACTGGAGAGGGACCTTGGACTATCTTCGCGATGGCTTGTAGCGAGGACAGACTGGACAAGGCTTTGGAATATCTGCGAAGAGGTGCGGATCCGGGGTTTGTCATTGATGCTAACAGCGGTGTTTGGTCGGCGATGCGACTCATCTACGCGCATCGAGAATCACGGTCTCCAGACCCGACGTTCTCGGAACAGCAGCTCAGACTCACTTTGGAGCAGGAAATATTCAAAGCCAAGGGGGCAAAGCCTCCAGCACTTCTGTGAGGGAAGGCCTCAAATTTCGAGAAGAGTCTGCAAGTATTTGAAGCAACTTTCGCTCGTTCTCCCAGCCATCTCAATGGGGGAACCAAGACATAATTCAGCTCATCAATTGCTTTTCAATGGAAGTTCACATTACAAGATCATGGGCACATTATGGTTCATGGTGATTAAATCCATTAATATTTACAGACATGCTATCATGGTCTCATTACTAACAACCCCACAGCATTACTCGCGTCAATTAAGCAGAAATGGGCGTAATGTTCGTAGAGACCCTCAGGTCTCGGCTGCTGAATCCAACATTGAGGGTGAACTCGCCCTCGGGGATCAGCCACTCCTGGCTAACAATGTCCCAGTAGCTCAGGTCCCTCCTCATCAGCTCGAAGCTGACAGTCTTGGTCTCGCCAACAGCCAGAGCCACCTTCTCGAAGCCACGCAGCTGCCTTGGCGGGGTGCCGGCCAGGGCGGCGTTGTCCGTGGGGAAGCCGACGTACAGCTGGGGCACGGCGGCGCCCTCGAGGTCACCGGTGTTGCTAACGGCGACGGTGACGTTGTAGACGGTCTCCCACAGGGCGGGGTTGCCGCCGGGCTGGATCTCGTTCTCCTCGGGCTCGGAGGTGATGTCGGCGGCGGCGGGTTCCGCGGCGATATCGGCCAGCTCGAAGGTGGTGTAGCTGAGACCGAAGCCGAACTCGTAGCGCACGCTGATGTTGTTCGCGTCAAAGTACTTGTAGTCGATCTCGAGCTTCTCGTCAAAGTACGACTGCCAGTCCTCGGGGCCATCGGTCTGGATAGAGGTGGTGACGGGCGCGTTGTAGTCGGTCTCGTTGAAGGCGATGGTGTATGGCAAGTGGCCAGATGGGTTGACGTCGCCGTAGAGGATGTCCACGAGCGAGTTGCCGGTCTCCTGACCAGGGTAGTGCGCAGCCAGGATGGCGGTCACGTTGGGGTGGTCGGCGAAGGGCAGCATGTTGATGCCCGATGAGTGGGAGACGACGACGGTGTTGTTGCACGTGCTGGCTACCGCGTCGACAAGCTCGGCGCCTTGGTAGTCCAGGGCAAAGGTCGTGCGGTCGGCAGCCTCCTCGGCCCACGTCTTGACGAGGACGATGCAGACGTCGGGGGCCTTGGGGATCAGAAGCACGCCGCCGAGGGCACCGGACTCACCAGAGCTGGCCAGGTTGTTAATGACGAAGGTGTTGTTCAGGACGTACTGCACCAGACCGCCATCTTGGGCTGCGCGAGCCTTGATGGCCTCGAGAGGGCTGACGATGTAGGTGGCGCGGCCTGTTCCAGAGCCGCCGCCAGCGAAAAGAGTGCCGTATTCCTCAGTGTTGTCTCCGTACAGGCCGTTGGTCACGTCGCCGGCGTCGTTGCCGAAGACGACGATGTTCTTGGGTGCCTTGAGGGGCAGAGCACCCTCGTTCTTCAGGAGTACGGTACCAGCTGCACCGTGCTTGCGGATCAGGGCGCTGTGGTTGCCACGCACGTCACGGCTGGACTCGCCAGTCAGGTTGAACTCCTCCCTCCAGCTTGACATTGGTGAGAAGGTGTTCAGGTAGCCACCGGAGGGGTCAACGGTGGGGAATTCCTCTGAGTCCTGACCGAGGAAGTAGTAGGGTGTCATGATGCGGACAATCATGTCATCGACACGGGAGACGTCCAAAGTGCCGTTGTTGACTGCGGTGGTAACATTGGCTCCGAAGAAGCTGCCGCTGCCCCAAGTGGCGCCATAGTTGCCCAGGTCACCAGGCATGTCCATATCCAATCCGCCCTCGATACTAGAAACGCCGGAGTGAACGGCGCCCCAATCGGACATGACGTAACCCTGGAAGCCGAGCTCGCCCTTGAGAATGCCGTTCTGCAGCTTGGAGTGCTGGCAGGCGTATGTGCCGTTGATACGCTGGTACGAGCACATCATGGAAGCAACCTTGGCCTTGACTGCGTTGGCAAAGGGCCAGAGGTACTGCTCATGAAGAGTGCGGTCATCGAGGTTGGATGAAATGGCCTCAAAGGAGACGTCGGTGAGTGTGCCATTCTCGTTCCAGGTTGGGTTACGCTGAGTCTCCTGCTCGTTGGCGATGAAGTGCTTGGCACAGGCTTGGACGCCAGTGTCCTGAACGGCCAGAATCGTCTGCTCCATCGCAACACCGGTGAAGTAAGCATCAGGCGAGAATCCTTCCCAGTTACGTCCGGAATAAGCAGACCGTCCCATGGGAGAAGCAACGGGTCTAAACACAGGGTCAGCTTTCCTACCATCCAGAAAGGTGGCGATTTAGAAGCATGCTTACCCAAGGAAGATGTGGGCACCCTTGCCCCTGAACTCCTCTCCCATGGCATATCCTCGCTCGTAGAGGATGTCCTTGTCCCAAGAAGCAGCAACAGAAACACCAGCAGAGAAGACGCTGGCGTAGTCTGCGACACGGATGGCCAGAGGACCATCCTGGAGGCAGAGGCCAGGGAAACCGAGACGAGGGACGGCAATGATGTTACCAACACAAGGTCCAGGAGTGCCAGTCACCATGTTGGCTTTCTCCTCAATGGTGAGCTCGGCTGTGAAGGCCTTGGCCTTGGCCAGAGCTTCTTCCCAGCCACCTGCACCAGTGGCGTTTGCTGAAGGGACCGGTTAGCAAGATGAAATACTGTGGCAGTCTGGTACAACTCACGTGTAGGGTAGTGGGGCTCCACATGGCCATACTGGCCAAGGATGGTGGTGTTCAAAGGCTGAACATATGAGAACTGCCCGCGGACTGCGGGTAGCAGCAGAGCTGCTGACAGTAGCAGAGACGAAGCCATGACGCTTGAGTTGATGGCGAGCTGAGGAGGACTGGTCGCGCTGGAGGGCTACGAGAACAGATTGATGTAACGCGGGGGATCTCTGCATCTTTATAGAAGCCGCTCACGATCCTCTCCCGAGCTTCCGCCCTGCCTACGGGGCGGAAGCGGCCCCGGCTGCATGCCGGACAGGCCAGGCACAGCGTCCGCGTGACATCTTGTCGATGTGCAGACCTTGCGGGCTCGGGGGCCCCACACGCCAAAAAATCGACAGAGATCAGCTGTGCTGCTGTGGATGTCCCTGATGTGTGCCCAGATGGGTCGGAAAAGGGCCGAAGAGTCGGGATACTGATCTGAGGTCACTCGATATTGGGGTGGAGTGGCGTACGCGGTCAGAGTTGACCGAACGAGATGAACTCCCGCCCGATGTTTATCCTAGTTTCTGTGGGGGAACCCAGTGGTCTGGAATGGGGGTGGGCCTCGGGAGTGCCTGGGCATCATACCCATCGGGTCGAAGCACCGGCAGACTTGGGATATGCCTGGTCGGGAGTAGTGCCTCCTCGGAGGTTCCTGAATCAGAAGCTCCAGGATCGCCGGCTGGATATTACTCCTACAGGCCTGCAAGCAGCCAGGCAGGACAGTTGCGCTGGGATGTCCACATGGCGGGGGAAGGGGGGGCGAGCGCTGAGCCGCGAGGTAACCTTATTACTCAAAAGGTGGTGAGCAGATGTGATCGTGGGTCAAAACTGACAGATGCTCGGAGGGATCTGGAGACTCGCTGCGCAGAATACCGGCATCAGTGCGGCACTTCCAGTGGCATGTCAAATGTCGTCATGCAACAGCAGAGGGTGGAAGAAGTCCGGGGGTCGCGCCTTGGAATCGTCGGCGTGGTTTTTCGTGCCGCCGTAAAGGGGCCGAGATGATGGGGCTTCGTGATATAGGAGCCCACATGCTTACCGAATGCGGGCAAGCGAGTACCTGTGTATTTCTCCGCGCGGTTCGTCAAGAGCTGATGCCGTCGGGTGATATGCGTCGCCCACGAAAAAAGCCCAACTCTGTCTTGGGGTGAAATCGATAGACGTGTTGTTGACAAGCAGAAATAATTAAGCACAAGGCTGAAAGTGCTTACTGCGGGTTTATGAGTGTTTCAAAGGGTAAGGTTATCGCCAAAGCGCCGCATAAGGAACGACTGGCAGGCTGTCTTTCGCGGAGATCGTGGGGTGAGCTTGACAGCACAAATCCACTCGGCCCCAGATTGCTCTTCTCCAGACCCACTTCCTCGTGAGGTCTGGGGCTCCCCTGTCCTGGCCAGTGCAGGCAGGCCTGCTTCCTCCAGTTCTGGAATGCCGGGAAATGTGGGGATTGTTGGGGTGGGTGTCTCCCCACGACAGCCTCAGCAATACCACCGTGCCTGCAGGTAGGCCTGGCTAAACATCGGCCTCTCTTTTGGTCTCTGCCAAGACGTGGAGCTAAATGCAAGCCATCACTCTAGTCACTTATCCATCCTGGATTCCATGGATGTTAGCTATTGCGGCACAGTAGAGGCAAAAACATTTTGTCATGATAGACGTCCAATAAATGGTTCGAGATGTGGGAACCGGCAGGCTTACCCAGCATTGAACGCCTGACTCGCCCCTCCACAGTCGACTCCATACCCTCAATTCTTGGCAGAGCGGAGGAAATGAGGTCGCAATCGGGAGGCAGAAGTTCGGACGAGCTGCCCCGCGTTGAGGTCAAGTTCTCGCGGTGTGCCCGATGCCTGGGCAGCCTAGGGTGGGCAATATTCCTGCACCTAGGAGGGCCTCGTCACCGCTCATGGCACGTTCCATGCCTGATAAAAGTCAAAGAATCATTCATAGTCTGAAAGATTGCGGATACACTTGAACGCCCTTACATTCTTGAACAAGCCTTGGGTGGCGGCCGGTTCTGCTATTGTGCAAGTGGGTGCGTACGACCAGCGAGTGGGTCGTCCGACACCGCAGAAGTCCCTGTTTCTGTAGCACCATCTTGCTGGGATGATTTGATCGGTGTTGTATCTTTGCTTGATGTAAACACCATCTGTCTGGGAAACTGGTTGCAAATCTGGAAAGAAAAAGCAGAATCGTGACCCAAGAAAAGTGTTGTGAATAAATGATTGAAGAAAACCTAAGCACCTGGCGTAATTGTCTCAGGGTGGAATTATACAGCACAAATCCATTTTCGCCTCGAGAGGAAAGTCGCCCGGCAAACAACATGATATCTAGAGTCGTTAAGTTCGAGTGCAGGTTTAATACCGCCCTGCAGTCCTGTTCCGTCATGCATGCTCGGTTCTGTCACTGTGCACATGCGCGTGCGCAGCTGGAATGTAGTCGGGAGCTGCCTATTGGAGTGCAGGAGGGACTGCTGAGCCAAGCTATCATTGAGCCATGTGCCATATGAGAAGCAAATTGAACAAAGACCATAATACTGAGTGAAGAAATGCTCTACCTGTCCAAGAGAGCCCAAATTGCCCCCTTCTTATAAGCAGGACGATCATAAGTCCGGTATGTCCGCCAATGTCCAGCCCCATTCTTTCGCGATTAAGCAGTTTGCAAATTTGCATTGCTGGGGCGCGAGATCCGATATCAAACACGCTCTTCATATACCGTTCAACGACGTTCATCGTATTTCGTATCTACCTCTGAGTGTGGATATATATGTCTTATAAGCCTTTCTTCCTAGACAAATTTGTATATACAAGTGTGGAGCATTGCGCTCAATTGACAAACACATAGATCTCGAAACGCAGGGTGTTGACCATCGTGAGTTTCAATCAACAGATTATCATTACCCAACATCCCAACGCCTTCAGCCAAAATATTGAGACAGCGGCAATCCCATGGGGTAGTCTAAGAGCCTTAAAAACTGAGAGTCTCCGCGCCGACCAACTGTGATATCACAACGTTCAAACAAATTGCTTCGAAACCAAGGCTTAAACCTTGTTCTTCTTCTTTCCCTTGCCCTTCTTGCCCTTGCCTCCTGCTGCTCCTGCTGCTTGTCCCTTGGCCTTGCCCTTGCCTTTGGCAGCTCCCGTCGCCTTCGCACCAGCAGCACCAGCCGCCTTGGAAGCTTTGGCGCCGGTCGCCTTTGCGCCAGATGCCTTTGCGCCAGACGCTTTCGCACCCGCCGCTCCTGTTGCCTTGGCAGCTGCGGCGCCAGATGCAGCTCGTGGCAAGATGTTGTCGCCGGGGCCGCGTGGGTCTTGCAGTGCGACTGCACTTGCGGCGAGGAACCAGATTGTGGCGGTGATGAACTTCATGTTGGCAGAAGTTCGTTTGTGAGGTGATATTAAATGTAGGTTACCCTTGAGAGGTTTTTATGGGTGGATTGATTTCGTAAATTTTGGTTTGCTTAAAGACTGTAGTTTGTATGAACGCTGACCAGAGCTGCTCAATGCTGGATCCAAAGATTATTTATTCTTGTGGTATTATTCAATGTAGGATCTGAGCTGCATGTTCGCCACAAGGTTTGTGCACAATGTTTCTTTCTTATATTCTTGGCATCTCCCGAAAACGAAAACGTCACACCATCTGGTTAAGCCTATTTTCATCCCAAAAGTTCGAGTAAAGGTTGTGAAACCGGGAAACGGGGACACGGGCCATGCATCGGCACGCCGGCAGCCAGACTAATTAGCCTCGTCCGTAGTCTTTAACAACCCAAGAATCAGAATGCCGTTCAGACGATCTCGCTCGCGTCGCAGCCGTTTTGATCCGAAATTCTGATGAAATAGTAAGTTTGAACTGTACAATCTACTGGGCCGGGCGCATCCGGTCCCAAGTGCCCGGATGGCTCTGCAAATCACGGCGATCCCAACCTGCCCTGCCTCTCCAGATTCCAAACGTAGGGCGTAGCGCGTATTCATGTCACGAGTATTAGTCAATGCCTAGCACCTTAGATCTCTGAAGAGCTATAGGCGGTGGCGCAGAGCCAGTACCCGGGTTCGTGACCAGGCTCTGAACGGTCTTAGCACATGAACGAAACCTGAGGTCTGCCTGACGAAACGGCATTTTTGTGAACCGTGCCGCCATAGAGTTACATGAGAGCACCTAACTAGCAATTCGATCAGCCATCACGATGCCCTAGTAGGTATGGTTTATGTCATACCACCACCAATAATCAAGATTACAAATTGCTACCAGCAGATATTTGGTGACTGCGCAAAATCATGAAACCACATTTGCTACAATCTCTTATAATACTTGTCTCATTCAGCAAGATGAGCTCTATGTTTCGCTCTCGCTCTCAATTTTTGCTCTTCATCCCAGACTTGCTGACTTTCAATCTTGTTCCCATCGGCATCCACGAATCTTATCGATTAGCTTCAGAAGTCCGAAGAACAAAGTTTCCAAGGGCCAAGAAAGCCATGAGACATGCATCGTGTATGGTATCATCAACGTTACTCTCCATCTCGTAACTCTAAATCTTGAAACTGGCTTTCTCACTTGGTTGCAACAGCCTGGACAGCTGTGTCCTACTAATGATTCCACCCTTGGTTACAGCAAGCAATTCATCACTGGGATTGATAGATGTGAGAGCCTATTCCACACCTTTCGAATTTCTCGAGGACGAATGACAGGGAAAATTCGGTCAGCAAGCTGGGTGCTCGGCGCTGAACATCTTGCCATGAATTTTCGCTCCAGCTGGCGAGCGTTATCGGAATTTGCACCATACAAGAACTATCAATTCCGCTCATGCCAACGTAGGTAGCCACGTGATCTCGAAAGCGCGCGGTCAGCGATAGGGTGCGGGCACAGCCCTCCCCCCGTGTTGGGAGGGGGGTTTCAGTTCCCGTTCAGACTAGTAGTGTGCGTCAACACACGACTGGACGTTCAAGGTGCTCTAGCTTAGCTCACTCACGGCGCAGGCATGCAGTCGCCGCCCTTGAAAGATTTAGTCCGTTTGTTGTACAGCAACAGGCTTCTCAGCGGCAGCAGCGTACTCTTTTATGAATCTTTGAGTTGGTGTGCCAGAGTCATCTTGATTCGTCCCGAGGCTGGATTCCTCCGAGTCTGCCTCCGTAACAACTCCCAGTGGCTCAATATCTCTCGATTCATTTCGCCAGCCTATTTTCTCTCGGCGGGGACCCGGCTACACATTTCTACAGGAGGCTGTTATAAGCCCGCTGCCCGTCGCCACCATCCATGAGCAGCTGTAGTAATTCTACAAGGCTTACAGCGGTCCAGAGATGGAGAAGCCCCAGTCCCCGCCCAGAGCGCAGTGCTCAGAAGTATTGATCTCGGATGGAAGGACACCGACGCGTACACCTGCTCCCGTACGATCCACAAATTCCCGCCCCCCCCCCCCCTTTCCCATAATGGTGAATGAAGCCTCTGGTTGTGTGGGATAGAGCCAGGTTTCGAGATGGACCGGTTAGCCAAGAGACACGACTTCAGCTTGGGTGTGATTGTGTTCGGCATGTTTGGCGATGTGTGCATATCATATGCGTACAACAGATAACTCGAGAGCACGTATCACACTTCCTTCTGACCATATTGAGATCTTACCTGATCTCTCGGATTAAGCTGACTAATCTCGCAGTATCTGGCGATGATCAGGAGCCCTTTGCTATCCGATGATAGCACAACGTAATGGCGCACCCCACGGACATCTGCGATGACTCCACCAAAATATCATCATTCAGTTCTTTCTTAAACATCGTCTCATCATTAATAGATTATGAAATATGTCCATCTATTGTCACAGGTGTATTCCAGATGACGAAAATACACGGACTTCTGTCTTCCTTATGATTCCCCTGAGGCTCGAAGTGTCGTCATCTGCTTCAAGCTCACGCCCCCGAGATGCTCGTGAAGCCGTTGCGTAGTAGACGCCTGCGTGCTTGTTCAAAGAGTCCAGCAAAATGGCTGAATGCTTGCGCCTTAAGATGTTCCCCCTCTAGTAGAAGAATGTAAGTCACAAAGCTATCACAACAGGAGACGGGTACAGATTCGCAACTCTTAACGATTCCGCTGGGTATCGGCTGATTGCTTTGAGGGTGCGAAGCGATATATTTGTACATGAAAAAGCTCAAATTGCTACTCACTTCGTCAGAATAGCCGTACTGAATGCCAGGTGATGTGTCACAACCGAAATTGAAGATCCTGTGAAGTGGATGCAGGGAGCATCCAATGACTCCAAGGCCGCATTCGATGTTGGAACATATGTTGATGATGCCGAGGTGATCTGTACCAATACAATAATCAGTCCTATGTAGTAGGTACGATAGACATTCCAAGGTCCATAACTTACATAAGAAGTTTTCTGGATACTCAGTTGTGTCGTAATACTTCAGGAAAGGCACACGGATGCAAGCCGAAATACTCGCGAGAATCCCTAGACCGAGGACGCAGATGACTGACACTTTCTGACGACGTCTCATCTGCATTCCAGCTACGATGAAGAAAGGGATGGTCGCAAATATCCAGTCCGTCGCTAACTGGACTATAAAGATGATGTAGTTGACTGTTATCTTTCCAAGCGTTTCCTGACATGTCCCCCTAATCAAGTCAGCTGCGCGGGTTCACGACGTCATCTCCGGTGTGTTTGTATTTCATTTTTGATCCTCTTTGAGCAGGTATGAGGGGAAAGGAACTTACAGCGATGGGTTCCAAGTTGCTGACATCGGGCGGCATGTTATAAAGATATATATCAGAGCCAAGATAGTATAGATCACCACTATGGACATGCTGATAGATATTGGAATGGTGAATCGTCTTCGCGAGTCTAGTCGCATGCAGGTGAACCCGACAGCGCACTTTGTGATATTGGATGATACGAGGTACAATACCTTCCAGTAGATCACATACTCGGCAGCTCGTACTTGATAAAGAGGCGACGGCAATTCAATATCCCGCGCTCCGAGTCCGTAGCGGGTGGCATAGACAGCGAATACGACAGCAGAGATAAAGGGAAGCTGTTGAACTGGTCAGTTTAATTGATTTCAGACATCAGGAATCTTGACACTTCGACCTAGAAGTCTAGGTTGGAGCTGGATAACTCACAGTCCCGAAGAGAGCCAGGATATCGTCTAGACCACAAGCTCTGCGCGATGCCGTAGAAAAGCCAAGTCTCATGTAGACTCGTAGAGAAATGACAATGATGCTGACAATGCCGAGAGACATGGCGGAAGTCTCTACGGCAAGACCAAATCCTTTCGGGGTGAGAGGAACCAAATGGTACGCGACATCTTGCATCTCTTCACCAGACACGAAAGTGACCATGTTGAGGCTTCCCGCTGATGGGTCGTGGTCTGCGGGTGTTTCTGAATGGCCGAAGCTGGCGCAAGCGCATTTGCTTCTGGCCGTGTCAACGGCGGCGAGAAATGCTGGAAACCAACAAAGACAACAAGAGCCATTGTGAACGATTAGCGAAGCAGAACGGGCTCTAATTGAAGGACCCAGCCCAGACCCCAGCCCCTATCCGCTCCACAAATTAGGGCTCATGCCGGAGCAGTGGTCGCATTGTACCTCAAAGTGCACAACGGGCGTACGCAGGAGACTGGGTAATGGAGTCGTATTCCACCATAACCAGGAAATAACAACAGTTAAAAAGACGGCCCTCACGCCCTTATCCCTGCATTTGATTTCCTGTCGAGGCGAGGCCGGGTCGCCACCTGGTCTTAACGCGCCAGACTATGGGCCAGCCAACAAGAAAGGTAACGGCCCCAGTTGGATTGAAACATTCTTGCGGACCTAGGCGCAGATCACATTGCCGCGTCGGAGAAAATCGTAATTTTCCTATCCCTAGGGTTCTCTGACAAGCGTGTATTTTCTGTTCTCGTCGCGCACATGCAGCAAGGTTGTCCTTGGTCGCAGAATTCCCCAGGGTGATTAAATTTGGGTGGGGCTCGTTTGCATCCTTTATTGTAGCAGAAACCCTGGCTTGCCGGGGCTTAGAGTCATATTCGAATAATGAGTCTCTGAGCCGCTCAACGCTAGGTCTATATGTGGTGACAAGCCAGATTCTAAGCGCGGCGACTTCATTGCCGAGTTCATCTGTACCGTTAGATGCGATTGGACTCCGTGTACAGAATCAAATTATTGGGATGTTACGTTTTAGCAAGCCTCCAAAAAAAGCTCGAGGCGAGATCTTGTTGTGCCCTTGCTCGGTATAGCTGCGTCAAGGATGTCCATGTCATTTCTTGGTGCACGATACTACGTGAAGTGACATTCTCTCCTCTCCTCGGCTACGCCAGCCGCCACTAGTGGAACCTTAGCAAGGAACCAAGCAGCTCAAGCTGGAGAGAAGAACGTGTCAGATGAACCTTCCTATTAGGGGTTCCTGACCTTGAGCCGAATTATGAGCGGCCGATCAAAGAAACCGGAGACCCTAATCAACTCCTGCTCCACTCAGACGAGAAGGCCTACCCAAAGATCCTTGGTCTGATAACTGTTTGTAGAAAGACAAGAGGTCTCCCGGGAAAATATTAAAGCATTTGACTACAACATTCTCATAATTCTCATGCTGGTCGACCTATTTGGACCTCGTTTCACCGAAAGTACCGGTGTCCTGCCACAAGCCCTCGGCGCTCAGATGTCCTGAGTGCCAAAGATCATTTCCAGGCCGCGGGCCTTATTGGCTCGTGGCCCGCCTCGGTGACGACTTGCAGTTGATGAGATTGCGAGTTGTGTACGGTCCGATTGCACGCCTCGCTCCCCTTCCAAAACACCGAAGGTTTGCCACGGAGCAAGAACCTCGGGGAAGCAACAAAAGTTGTCGGTACAACCCGTCAACGGCAACTTCCACGTTGCCACCGCGTTATACACTGCTTTGACTATGAGATGGTTCACACGAGGATGACCGTTCATTACCTATTTTAAACAACCCATATATGTTCACGATCATTCTCGGGAGCCATCAAAGAGCACAGCGCTGTTTTCCACCAAGACGGATCGAATCACTTCCAACTCGGTCAGTTTCTGAACTCGCAATAGGACCGAGAATAGATGACAGATCCGACTAACCATACGAGATGTGGTTAGATGGGCATGGCAAAACATGTTTCTTTCAGCCCGAAAACTCGGCCACTGAGCGCAACAAACATACAAGTTCACAAGGCACGGATTGGTGATGCTGCCAGTATTATGTTCAGCGCAAGCGTTCACTACCTGCGTGAGAGCGGTCGTTCTTCGGGACTTTATACTGCAGCCGCCACCTGTGTTTGCATATAAGACCCTTTACAATGACCGCTTCCAAAGTGTGACTAGCAAGTCGAACTCGGGCCTTCTTCTCAATCTTGAGGGTGTCGTGACACGATGTCTCTTGGCACCGGCCTGTGGCTTTGACAGGTCATCTGATCTGCAGGTCGACATGCCGCCTTGGGTCCTGTCAATCCACGAAACTCTGGTCTCGAAATATCTTGGGTGCCACGTACCTTTTCAAGCTGAGGGGCTTTCCCTTGTGCGGCTGCGGCCGAACAGTCGAGATTGCGGGCCGAGGATTCGGGGCGTGGCGTGCATCGGAGTGCGGCCACATCACGGCCCTATTCCCCCGCGCTGGTTTCCAGTTCGAGTGATGACAGCCGACACTAATCGAAATCGTCCTCCGGAGTCATACGCCCGCATCTAGGACAAGATTAGATCCGGGGAACTGCGTGCGGGTAGGGCCGCTGCGCCTGGGGATACTTCGGCGGTGCTCAAGTGCTTGATCACCTGGACAGATGCTTCTCGGTGAAATCATTGCAGCTGGATCGTGAATAGTGGCTTCATGGAAACATGTGTTGAAAGCTTAATATTTGGGTCGGGCATGAGTGAGTATATAGTCGCGGAGGTATTCTTCCTCTGGATTGAAAATGGAGGGAAGTGTCAGTCAGTCATCAAGTACTTGTCCGACATCTTCCAAGGTTTTTACGTACCAACGACGCTGTTCATCCGCACGATATAATCAAATACTTTGAAGATGAAGTCAGCGACGGCATTGGCACTGGCCAGTCTTGTTAAATCCACCTTTGGCCATGGATACTTGACGATCCCTTCCAGCCGAACAAGGCTCGGTGCTGAGGTATGAGACATGTTCAAACTGTCGTCCAATCTTGCTCACCAAGTGCAAACAGGCCGGCATAGACACTTGCCCCGAGTGCACAATTCGAGAACCCGTTGAGGCCTGGCCGAATGTCACTGCTGCCACTGTCGGCCGCAGTGGCCCATGTGGCTACAATGCCAGGGTCAGCGTCGATTATAACCAGCCCTCGACTAACTGGGGTAACACCCCCGTTGCCACATATACGCCCGGTCAGACCGTTGATGTGCAGTGGTGCGTTGACAACAACGGTGATCACGGCGGCATGTTCAGCTATCGTATCTGCCAGGACCAGGCGCTGGTTGATAAACTCATGACTCCCGGATACCTCCCGACCGACGACGAGAAGCAGGCCGCCGAGGACTGTTTCCAGCGCGGTACACTGAAATGCACCGACGTGTCGGGGCAGACCTGTGGCTATAGCCCAGACTGTACCGAAGGACAAGCCTGCTGGAGAAACGATTGGTTCACGTGCAACGCTTTCCAGGCTGACAGCCGCCGAGGATGCCAGGGCGTCGACAATGCGGCCCTTGGGTCTTGTTTCACCACCATCGCTGGCGGATACACAGTGACCAAGAAGATCAAGATTCCCGACTACGTTTCGAACCACACCATCCTCTCGTTCCGATGGAACTCGTTCCAGACAGGTCAGGTCTACCTCACCTGCGCCGACATTGCTATCAGCGGCAGCGGCGGCGGCGGCAGCTCATCCTCCTCCACGGGTACCAGCACCAGCACGGCCGTAGCGACCACGACCAGTACGGGATGCACGACCGCAAGCAGCGTTGCCGTTACGTTCAATGAGATCGTCACGACGACCCCGGGCCAGACGATCAAGGTTGCAGGCTCGATCTCGGCGCTCGGGAATTGGGACGTGGCGTCGGCCCCGGCGCTCTCGGCTGCGCAATACACGAGCTCCAATAACTTATGGACGTACACAGTGACGCTGGCGGCAGGACAGACGTTTGAGTACAAGTTCATCAACGTGGCATCGAGTGGAACTGCGACGTGGGAGAGCGATCCGAACAGGTCGTACACGGTGCCGCGCAGCTGTGCGACTGCGGTCACTGTCGACACCAATTGGAAGTGATGTGGTCTGGGGACGCAAGATATGGGCAAGGATTTGTTTTGTGATGTAATGGTCCTTTTGTTTTGTCGAAATAAGTATATACTCCGCAGGCATGGAGAAGCACGGAATTTTGGTGATGAAATATAGATGCCAGGATGAATCAATATGGTCTCTTTATGTCAGAACAAACCCATGCAGGCATTTATGCATCTGCAGCCTGTGTGGGGGCAGATGCTCATACACAGTATAATTCACAACTTCGAATTCGCTGCCTTGATTCAGGAATGCTTCTCTAGATAAAATGCAAATTTCTTTTGGGAGGTTCTATGGCGTTCTTCAACGAGAAATCTCAGTTCTAATCCTTGAAGAAGCAGAGACTATCTAGGAGAGGATAATCGAACACACTATTTGAGATCAACTGTGGTTGCGTAAGGTCATTTATGTCGTCAGGGGAGATGTCCATTGAATCCAGCAGCAATCAATCTTTGGCCAGCCTGCCAAACGTCATCTGGGATTGTCTGCGCTATTTGATACCCCTTGGCAGGATAGTCTCGGATTCTGATCAAATCTCCAACCATGATGTTGATGACCAGGTCCCGCGGGTTGCCTTCATCGGGATAATCTCCAAATTCAAGTTGCGGCGACGTAACACTGAAGTCCACATTGTCGTGGTCTTCAAGGCCTGAGTCGCGAATGCCAGGCCACTGCTTCATGAAAGTAGCGTAAGTCCTCCGCTCCATGTACGGTTTCTGCACCAGAATGAACGTCCGAATCCTTCCCTCGCCCTCGAGTAGCCGTCGCTGCTGTAACAAGTCGTAAGTAAACCGGACGTTCTCTCCCGTGTTTGTCGACTGTGACTCGACGATGATGGCGTTTTCGGGTACGCCTTTAGCCCGTGCGATGTCGGCGAAGACATCGGCCTCTGGCTTGGTGAAACGGTTCTCGGTCAGCTTCCCGGACCCGCCTGAGAAGATGAGGTATCGGCCGTATCCGTCGAGGTGGAGCTGTGCGGCTCGGTGCGCGACGCGGATATCCAGACTGCAAAGACAGAAAACGGCATCTGCATGTGCGCTGACGGGGAGGGGCATCTGGGTGCGGTGGTAATTGTAGACGAGCTCTGCGTCTCGATTTGTCTGGTCCTCCATTGTGGTCTGATCTGGCTTTGGGCCAAGTGGGAGACAGTTCAAATGGCTGGGCAAGTCCTCACAGTGTAATGTGCCACTGTTATAAGACTAGGAATAAGATCGATCACCACGGAGCATCAAGGTGACCTGGTGCTGCACACCCCTAACCCTTTGATCGATTAATACCGTTCCCTTCCCATGATGAAGTACTTCCATGGAACTGCATTTTCATTACGTCCCACGTCCTTTCGTGGCTGGGCAAACTTGAAGAGCCGCGGCAAGAGAGCTTTTGGTTCCCCTCAAGTTTAACGGTAACATCCATTGTCTAATGATCCCAAAAGTAGTCAAGCAAGGCAAATGTACCGGGGGCATGCTACGGATATATCACTCTATTCATAATTACATAAATCTGATCATTGTTGTATTTTCATGCGATTGAAGACATTTACTTGCATGTCCTGAATCTCTCGTCACAACGTCGCGACTAGTTGCTAGTATCGTCGGAACTGAGTTCTAATATGAAGCACCATCACCAACAAAACAATTGGCTAGCACGCATGAGCCCGGTCTGCCATTTAATCTAATGATGATCTTGGGTCAAGTCACTGCATGCTCTGCGCCACAAATCCTCCGCCACTTCCTGCATGTCAGCCTAAGTAAAGCGGACCCACTGTGAGGCAACCTTTTAGGCACACTCTTGACATCGGAATCTCAACATGTACGCTCCTCTGAGGCCGACTGAAAAACTGAAGGAAATAGCTTCAAATATCTCTGTGGGAGCGGAGGACACTTTGCAAGACTCTCTGATGCCCTTGTAATCCATCTTACGACTCACCCGTCTCACGATTCTCGCAGCAGGGGAAAGTCTAGCCCCCGCGCATGGTCAGAACCAACGACATGGGTGAGGCTGGTCCTGTCTCAACCCGGCAAGAGATGGACAATGCCGGTCTATCACCGCAAGAAGAGAGCCTTCTGAACCAGCATGGGATCATCATTGAGGAGGTTCAGGAATCAGACACAGACAATAACTCGGGCAGTCGCAGCAACACACTACAGCCCGATGAAATCTTGACTGCCGAATCGGAGCAGGGCCAGCCTCAACACCATGTCGCTAAAAAGACCACTGTGATTTCTGCATTCGGGTCTCTGGATGAGATGCCAGATACCTCGGACGACTCCGAAGCAGACGACATCATGTATCATAACGAAATCCGAGAGGCTCGACGTCATCATCGACTAGTACGAATGGGCTTGAGAAGCCGGGGTACACGAACAATGAGTGAGAGAAGCGATAGCGACATTGAAGATCTCCGAGACAGCCTCTTTTTTGACCAAAGCGGGTCAAAGGCACGCCGACTGAGAAGGAGGATTGGAGACCGACCGAGTCTCCTATTCCAGGATCCATCGCCCAGAATTGATGAGATGGAGAAACTTCTTCTAGGGGACCCGGAGGACAGTTCACTGCCGAAAGAACTATCGTATTTGGAACTCCTTACTATCGAAGAGGACTCACACAGCACGTCAAGTTTCGACATTTCGAGTATGCCTTCGGATCTTCGTCAGAGCGCCGAGGCAAGCACAAGTATTCCCGAAGATAATGACAGATCCCAACCCATTTCCATGCTTGTGACGGAACCAGGACTGCCTCTGATGAACGAAATCAAAGAGAATGCGAAACTCGCAGAAGACGAAGAAGAAACCCGCAGCGACAGTATTTTTTGTGTAGATGAGACAATGTCTGTCCAGTCTTATGACGATTCGATATTTGACTCTGGGTCGATCGGTAGTTCCATGTCGTCTGTTTACAGCGACACACAAGCTCTGGTCGGGGAATATGTGGACTTCCTTGTCGGGGATCGAGGGCTTGAGAAGCTATTCATAAGATCTATGTCGCCGACAGTACTCGATCCGGAGCGATTCAGGCGGAATTACAACAAAATCCTCCAAAGTTTCGCGAGAGATCTCAAGCGACGACCGATATCAGAAAACGATACAAAAGCGCGACTTTATACTCAGGGACTGTCATTCATTTCTCGCCGATCCATTACGATGAAGGTATCCAGCCTTATTGCATCCAGGTACATAGAAAAGGCGCCGCGGACGCAAATAAGCTCAGGCAGTATTAACGATGGTGGCCCCGGAATGTCAACCGAGAGACTCGATCAGCAGGTTGAGTCTGAAGACGAGCCATCCTCTTGTGACTATTCCCCCGAGGACGACCCACATCATATCTTCATGATTAGTGAACTGGCATCATACTTTCGGGAAGGTCAACCATACCAGCGCATGAAGCGGAACCTTCGAAGTCTCGTCATCCCCAGCGCATTATTGAGCCGTGTAAGATCAACCACCGAGCGCATGTTGGACCTATTACTCTGTGATGAATACCTGAAGTTTCTGTTATTCAAGGCTTTAAGTGATCCTTTGGCATCACTCAGAGATGACCAATTCGACCCCAAGAGGGTAATAAGCAATTTCGGCTCCAGATTGAAAGCCGAGGCTTGCTCACCGGGTCATTTGCGCGTCGCTGAGTTTCTAGAGACTTATTCCGGGTATATTGCCACCAGAGCCGTACAAAGGATGCATAGCATGAATATGGATGCTATTCTTGAACAATCGCAGGCTAGTTCAGCCCCTGCTGGGACAGCCCAGTAATCCCCTCGTGGGCAATTAAAGTACTGATATGTGGCCAGAGTTCAAAGTTCATCGACCGTGACACAGTCAAAATCACCATTCGAGACAACACGCGGTTCCAAACACCACAGACATACAAAGAGCGCGTGAAGCGCTCGAAATTAACCCTGTGCCGAGCCGAGGAAGACAGCAACAGCCGAAACGGCCCTCGGGTCGGCCTTGGATCCATCAATAAATTTGGATCCGCGTTAATCAATGCGATTGTTATAGCTCCTATGGTGCTACTAGTGCATGTGCTGCGCAACGAACGGATATGTGAGCTCAATGAAGAATTCGTTGAGCCTATCGTTGAAGCTGACATAGCTGTACGCAGTACCCTGGATGTCCATATTTGGATTGGCGACTTATATGTTTGTATTATTTACTATTTCAATAGCCGTACCTCTCAAGGTTCTTTGTGTGTGTCTCTCTTGGCCCGAGCTAGATGCCATGATCGCTACATTGCTGTCATTGCTGTGGTGTTGCAAGACAACCTCTGAAGGACCACCAGAACAAGGTGATGACGCTTTCCGATATTTTGCGCCCAAATGGAGCATCGGAAATCTCAAAGACGGAGAGGACATCAGACAGAAGCTTCAGTCTCACCTTTGGCACCCTTACCGACAATACCTCTCATCGTCGTCTGAAGAGGTCTTGGAGACCATCATAGACGACATCCTGCCAAATATTGTCGATGCCGACATTGACACCAACTGGCCATTCGTCGCTTCCAGCAAAATATTCAAGCAGTTTTTCAATGCTCTTCGAGATGCAGCCGTCCCGACCTTCTTTTCCGAATCCATGAAACTCGTCAACCAGGGCCTGATGGACGATGATGAAGACCCAAACGTGACAGCCAACAAACCCAGCTTGCTTCGTACCCTGGATGAGCTGCAGTGGTGTTTCACGCAAACAGGAGTGGCTCCCACCATTCATATTTCTAGTTCAGAACGCAGTCTGAAAGACTTTCGTGTCTCGAACTTGGTCAAGCTCGTCGTGGAAGCGAGTTCGCGGTCGGAATGGCAGTGGTGGCCTCTGCAACCACCGACAGCGAGGAAAAGAGCTGTGGGCATGGAGTCCCGTATATCATGGATATGTGTAAGTCCTCTCTGAGAACCGCTTGGACATGCAAAACGAGCAATTGAAACCCCAATGTGGTTTCCTGCGATTCTATAGCATCTACCCCGGTACTCCAAGCTCACGATCAGTTAGGACTGTGGCACAGAAAGAGAAGAGACTGTTCCATCCATCTACGCCTCCAAGTTAAGCCATCTGGCTTCGCATTATCCGCTCAGCAATGAGCCTCCACAAAGGCCACCCAGCTCCCTGAGCAACAGCAGCTCCCAGGCTACGGGAAGCACTAGTGGATCCGAAGGACAGTCCACGTATTCTGGTGATTCCTCTTCTTCCGGCAGCTCAAGTCTGCGTAGTGGCACTGCTGCGACGTCTCCAAGCTCATCTGCTGTCTCTCTTGGTTCACCAAGGAAGGCGTTTGTGTTCCTGGTGGTGAAGGCTGGCAAGTACACTCTGGCGCCGATCGATGTGACAGAGAAGAAGGCTCGCGACTTCTTCCAGGCTATTATTGAGAAGTATAATCACAAACGCAGATGGCGGCGGCTGTTCTCGATATATGTATATAGCCACTGCGACTTTGTCAAGGTTAGCCTCGACCGGCAAAACATTTCACGAGGATGGCGAGAAGTACTGACAGTGCAGACAGATCAGGCGATACGCCCCACAGAGCTTTGACCCGGGATTCAGATTCTCGTTTCCTCCACATGACGAAGCGCCGCATGACAAAGAGTATACCTATTACCCTCGGCCGATGCCGCACGCGCCCGTCTCGAGACACATGTTCAATCACCTATTCCACGCTTGCTACGGCGAAGAAAGTCTTACTCACAAGCTCCACTATGCCTTTGTGGCACGTTCCTGCGTTATTAAGACCATACCGGGCAAGCTGCTCGACGGGATGCCAAAGCGAGACCGGCTGGTCGACGAGGAGGCCGAGTTCAGCGAGGACCAAGACGTTGAGGTCTTTTGGGGGCTTGTAGCGCGTGAACAGAGATCCGCCTTCAGGGTGATTGTGTACATTTTACTTAGCTTTACGCCCTCGTTGTGGTTCGTGTTCCAGTGGCTGTTTGGGTGGGGTCATGGTGGGGATCTGCAGGATGCCACAGTGCCGTTGATGTTCAGTACGACGATGCTAGGCATTTTGTGGGCTGTTGTGTACTCTGGCAGTGATATGAGGGAGCTGGAACAGCCGCTTTAAGCTATACTCGCGGTGTATAGGTTTTTCATCCGCATTCTCATCAGGTAGTCGATTCCATGCATTAGTTGGCAATCTTGCTCCAAAGCCCAAATAGGCCTGTGTCCGCGAAACCTAAGAAGTGGTTTTTGACTTAAAAGACATTGAGGGGAAGCATCGTGGCGAGGGGTTAGAGTCTACTGAGGTTGCTCGGCTGAGTATCACGACAGTTGGTGAAGTGTGCTCATGTAGTGAAAGTCCACTTGAATTGCTGGCTGTCTAACCTGAGGGATGTGCTGCGGGGGATGATGACATACGCTGGTTCAACCCCCCTCTTAACCCGGACTAGGCTCGCATCAGTCGCCGCACCTCTCACCCGCGACCACATGATCCAGTTCACACCTGGAAGAGTCTCATACCACAACCGACTGCTACCAAAGACCGACGAAAATGGGAATCGTCCACATTGTAATGTTCGCCTTCGAGCCACTGGCTCCCCCAGAGGACGTCCAGAGTGTAAGCGACGTCAAGCGTGCCATCTCGCTCGCTCCCCACGCCGACACCTGCTGATCTGGAGTGATAGGTTTGTGATGGAATGCTGGCTCTCAAGGATAAGTGCGTGCATCCAGAGTCCAAGCAGCCGTATTTGAAGACGGGGAAGGGAGGAAAGGATAACAGTCCCGAGGGGCACCAGGTAAGCCTCTCACCCCTGGGTTCTTGATGGATTCAATGAGATATGGTTTACTTGTTTATGTATGGCTGACTAAGGCTTTTCTAGAATGGCATCTCGCATGTGTTCGTCAGCGAGTTCGAGAACGAAAAGGATCGGGAGTATTACTTGAATGAAGACCCGGCCCATCTGGCATTCGTCAAGAGTCTTGATGGCATTGTTGCCAAGGTGCAGGTGGTCGACTTTACTCCCGGGGTCTTCGAATAAGGCTTGGCTCATGAGTATGCTACTTCGGCGGGGACATAGCTGCTAATCAATATGGGAGAATGAAAGGCTTAGTTGATGGGGCTGGGCTACGCGGGAAAACCACGAGAACACATTGGTTGAGTCTGCAAAAATACCATTTTTCATACCTTTGACCTAAACGGAGAACAGGATGGAGGCTGGATTATCCTATTATGGTTTTAAAGACCTGTCCCCACCCGGTCTGCTGGTGTGTCCGAGCAGTAATTCAGATATTGCCCCAGCACTTCCGGAATTGGTGATGTCGAATTCGGCCGCAGACACTCGCCACGCTAACAGGATGATCACAGTTGTCAATCAAGTCAGATGCGGCACAACAGATCGGTGTTAGTCAAATCTTACTTCTTAACATAGTCCCTTGGGGTAATTGTGCATTTTATTTCTCTGTTCCAAGACTCAAGTAAAATTCAGCGTGGGCTGTCTCCATTGATCCGGTTGAGCTGAGTTAAGGTAAATTTGCCAGCACACTACTGGACCTCTATTTTGTTCAATGTTGACATCTTGGCATTCCGGATCGCCATCCTTTTACCCCTCTCGGCGGACATACTGTAGTGTAGTTACTGTCACTCGCTGTATTTCACAACGAGACGTGACAGCATGTAAGTCTGGTTCCCCGCTAGACCAAGAAATGAGGCTTGAAGCAACCCCAGACTACCCCAGACCCTGTCTCAATTCGAAATAGTCCGGACCTGTCGCTGGAATATCTCACCGGCAGGATGGACGGAAGGCACAGCAGGTCAGCCTTGAGCCTCACTAAATAAGAGCTTCAACATGGCTCACCCTCGATCCACTTCTAGGATGGCACCGAACCAGGTGCACCGAAGTAGCCGGCAGCTCGACGACAGGAATCAAAATGCTGCCTTCTCTATCCCTCGCAACAGTATCTGCGCTGCTTCCCCTGAGTGTTGCCCTACGAACGGAGCGCCGGAGTCAACAACATGACAACTCTTCCGACATTCGTCGTGACCTGTCACCAAATGTTCCGCTTCGGCTTTATTCCGTCAAGCGGCCCATCGATGGGTCATGGCAGTCTCTCTCCATTGAGTTTTCCTACATGGCGGACTTCTTTGGCAATCTGACGTACTTGACGCCCAATTGATGCCCCTATTACTTGTGAAGAACATGCAAGCTGACTTTCGATCTACAGAACACCAAACCAGCTCTCGTATAATCTCCTGGAAAATCTCCAGAATGTATCCGGATCCCCCATTATCATCCGCGCCGGCGGCTCTACCGCCAATGTAGCCATTTTCAACGCCAGCCAGGAACTCGCCGTTGAGAACCACTGGAACGGGTCAACCAATACGGGTCTCGAGGGATCGCGCAGCGACCAGCCCAGCCTGACCAATATTGGACCCGCCTGGTTCGAGGCCTTCCTGACATCTCCCGAGGGGACGCGGTTCATTTACGACCTCAACTACCGCGACAACAGCACCGCCGGCGTCGCGTCTACGGTAGACGTGGCGAAGCGCGTGTGGGACGCGCTCGGGCCGGATCTGTTGTACGCATTTGAGATCAGCAATGAGATGGAGCGGTGGGGCGGCAGGTACCGAAGCGACGAGTGGGGGCCGGAGCTGTACACGGAGGAGTACCTCAAGTATACTGATTTGATCGAGGAGGCCATCTGGGGCAGGAGTGAAGACGGATCGCAAGCCCAGCCGATGTTCCAGATGGGCACGTTCATGGGAAGTGGAAATAGGAGCATCAACCAGCCTTGGAACTCGGAGGTGGTGCTGGGCCTGGGAATCAACAAGAAGCAGCAGATCCGAAGTACTTCGCAGCACGATGTAAGTCATTTGGTCACATCTGGCTTCCCCAGCTGTGTTGCCCAATCCTCAGGTGATGAGAAGTATACCTGACTGAAGCGGTCCTCTCTCAGTACCACGGCTCCAACTGCGCCTCGACCAAGGAGATCGCCACTCTCCGGCAGAACCTTCTCAACCACACCAACATGGCCAACCGCGCCTACCCTCACCAGCAAATGGCCCCTTTCATCGACGAGACCCACGGCATCACCTACGTCATTGGGGAGACGAATTCTATCTCCTGCCAGGGCCGCGATGGTGTCTCCAACGTGTTCGGCACCGCGCTGTGGTACCTGGACTACACGCTCTTCATCGCGTCCAACATCTCGGCCGTAGGCGGCATGTACTTCCACATGGGCACGCCCTACCGCTACAGCCTGTGGGCGCCCTACGAGGGCGCAACTAACCACAGCGCCCTGGTCCGGCCGTCATACTACGGCGCGTGGGTGCTCGCCACGGCCATCGGCAACGGTGAATGGCCGTCAGGGCACAACGGGACTGAGACTCGGGCCCCGACGATCCCCGGCTCCTACTCGCCGTACTACTCGGGCGATGGCGCGCCCAAGAAGGTGGTGCACCCGCTGATCGCCGAGGAGACGCTCACGGCCTACGCGCTGTACAGGACGGCGCCGTTGCACGCCATTGACTCGGTTGTCATCCTGAACATGGAGCCGTACAACTCTACGGCCAACTATACGCGGCCATACGTCAAGGTCACGCTGCCTGAAAGGATTCAGACGCCCGGAGTCGTGCGGCGGCTCACGGCGTCCGGGAGCGATGTCAAGGACTTTGAGCAGACGGATATCACGTTTGCGGGACGGAGCGTGAGCAAGGAGGGGCTCGTCGTCGGGGAGGAAGTGACTGAGACGTGGAAACCCGGGGAGAGTGTGTTGGTTGGTGATGCCGAGGCGGTGTTGATTACATTTTGAGAGCCATTGGGGTGGTGGCGGATGGCTGTAGACTGTCTAAACAGGTAGATAGGTATCTAGGTAATTGCTGGCAGAAGGCGACAGACTTTCCATGCATCTTTGTCTTCACAGCAGGCAAGGTGACGAGGTACCCAGGTACCCAAGGACGGCCTGTGCCCTGTTATTAGAGTTGCAAAGTGGGCAGGTGGGGGCAAGCGACGTCGCTAAGCAGGCGTGGCAGGCTGCCCCTCGGACCGCAGGGGGGCGTGCGCAGGGGTCCCAGGCCATACGTCACACGCGTGATGCGCCTAAAGCGGATCTCAGGCGTGCCAGGCTCGAGCCAGTGCTTGCCCCAAGACAGCCCTCGGGCCTGTCGATTGTTTCCAAGGCGAGCTTAAGCTGAAGCTGCCTCGAGCTGCTCCTGAGTGGTTGAGTGGCCTGCGATCGCGGCTACTGCAACCGTAACTGAGCTGAGCACGCTGGGATGTCCAGGGCACTGGGGACTGGGGAGCGACAACATGCTCCCGCCTCGAAGCATCCATGCAAACCAACCTGAGAGCCCTGCGAGCCTGAACCCAAGCCAGCCGCCTACCCACGGCTGACTTTGGACCCTCGTCTCGCCCTCCTGGACAAAGACTCCATTCACCCATCCATCACCCGACTTTCCATCCCACAGACTGTGCGACATCGCAACTCTGAAAGTTTGAGATCACGACACTCGCCCAATAAGCATCTCTGGACGCCGCTATCACCCGTTGTCTTTGTCGCACGCAATCCCCGCGACGACCTCCTTGCGCTTCGTCTCCGTCGCGACACAACATACAAGCCCAACCAAGACAGCACTTATCAACACTCGCAGACTCCATCGCCATGGCGCAACCACATCCCACCCTCATCAACATCCCCCAGCCTCCCTCCAACCCGGACACTCCGTCAGAGATGCCGTGAGCTCCTCCCAGAACCTCCACAGTCTGGCTACTTTACTGGACCCAGAGCTTTACCGAGCCAAACAATGCTGATCTGTTTACTTCTAGCGGCACTCCCACCTCGACAACAACCTCCCTCTCTGCTCTATCCACTACCGCTATTAAAGACGGCCACCGTGGTCACGCTACTGCGACAACACACCACCCCGGCCACCAGCAGCATGCCTCCCAAGGCAGCCTCGAAGCCGAGCGCGCCGACAGGATCTCGCGCCTTGCAGGTCTCTCCAACGTCAACCAGCTGCGCTCCCCTCCCAGCGCTGGCTCCGCGGCTCCTGCTCGCAACAGCAATAGTCCCCAGACGACTCCCACTTCTGCCGTCTTCCCACAATCCGCCCACAGACCCATCGCGCCCCTGATCCAAGGCGCCCCGGCATACTTCGACTCCAATGGACAGCCCGTCGCTGTGACCAAGATGTCCACCTCCGGCACTGCATCGGCTACTGAGAGTGCAAGTACCCCTGAGCAAGATCATGGGATGGCATGCTCTGCGGTTCAGGCTTATGCTGACAGTATTTGATCTAACAGGACATCGACATGATGAGCACGGATACCAACTTCGCGCGCGACACAGAGGTCGACTCAGCTAGTGGCTACGTGGGCACAGGACATGCAGAAATGGACGTCGACGAGGACTTGACCAGCCGTAGCGTTGGCCAGGGCGAACAAGAAGATAACATGAGCGACGACGGCTCAGCCAGCCTGGTCGGCTTCGGTGAGGGCGCGAACAGCACCATATCCGGGCCCATCTACGTGCGACGACCCCTGCCCGGAATGGAGGGCCTGCAGAGAAGCAGCTCCGGCTTGAGCGAAGGCGCAGTACTGGCGGCTCGGCGGGAGAGGCTGGAACGCGAGGATCCCACCGCAGAGAGGAGGGACGCGCGTTTCATCGATGGTGTGGCGTCCGAAGCCACCCCCGGCGCTACGGCGGACGAGGACGCGTTCGTGGACACGACCAACACTGGCCCTGTTCCCGTTTCTGGCCCAGGTTACACAAGCTCCCTGCGTGAGACTCAACATGGCGCACATACCCGACACCACCTACATCACCAGCAGGCGCCTACTGCCCGCGAGGCTGCGGAGAGGGCGATGCGCGAGCGCGGGCTGGACCCTAACCGAGCTGGAGGGTCTGCCCAGAGCAGCCCCGGAAAGCGCCTGACCTTTGAGGATCAGAAGTGATTTGGGGATGGCCGCAGGCGGAGCTTTTCTATGTATTACGAACTGCCCTTGAAAAGTTTGAGGCTGCTCTGAGTTTGTGAGTCGTCGAAAAGGGTATATGTGCTTGATTGGCATTGCTTGAGCATCCGATAATGCAAAGATGCGCGCCAAAGAGGTCAGTGCAGGAAAGCGAACCGTGCTGTATGATGGATACATAACTCCTTGTCCGCTGCCTTGATACGGCCGGTCGTGCTACGACTTGCTGTTCTTTAACGTGAAGTCGTCAAAGACTTACATTGCGTCTGCTTCTTCTCAATTGGCGTTTACGGCGAATTTGGGGTCTATTCGGGAACGGATGAGATATCACCTATTAGCTTAGCGAAATTGAAATGGAATATACATGGTTTTTGATGAAGTTGTAGTGTCCCCGGGATCATTACGTCCTGATGTTGGTCTCGCCCTGCACCTCTCGACTTGCGGCCTTTCCTGGCTTGCTTTCTCTCACGTTTTCTTTTATCCTAGAGAATAACAGACTCCCTGGAAATGAGTTGATAGCTATTTCCATGTCACCAGTCAGATCCAAAGCATTTGTGACCACTTCAACTTGTATCATTGCCTGGTTCTGTCGTTCTCTTCCATGATAGCGTGAACATCACAATGCCATGCGCACATCAATTAGTTTTACTCTTGCTACGAGACAAGGGGGATGCTTCGGTAATTGCTTGTGTGTACACCAGAACAAAACGCATTTCTCAACACTTATCACTAGCTTCTCGGCAAACTTAATGTGGTATTTGGATAATTTAGCAAGAGCGAGCCCAGAGCTGGAATAGCTGCTGCGGAAACTGGTCAGGCACCCATCTATTTTCGTGATGCTTTGTACACACATTGTACAGTGTATTGCTCATTCAGCTCGGACTACTAAGGAACGGATGCTCTAGCAGATCAGAGATGTTTGGCCGCTGATTTACATCACTGCGAAACACGTCAGATATCAGATTTAGACAGGTTGGTGGCACTGAGTACTCACACGCTGAGGCACTGGCGTATGAAATCCAATGCCTGTTCATCGAGCTTGCTCGCCTTTGCTTGAGGGACCAAGAGATCTACTGCTGATCCCTGGACTTCTTCAATCTTTGCAGTGGCCGAGCTCGCCGCGCTGCCTTCTGCGAGGCTGCAGCTCCCTGTGAGTAGTTCGGCTGCGATGATTCCGAGTAGCCACGCGTCCGCCTTGTGCGTGGGTTCTTGACCAAGTTTGAGTTCAGGAGGCGTCAGGATAGTAGACGGTGGCGGTTGGCCCGTAGTGGTCACACCGAGCAGCGGCGCCTCGATTTTGACAATGCCTTTGTTGTCCAGCAGCACGCTTTCCGAGTCGAGGAAGATGACGGTGATGCCTTGCTCGTACATCTGCTCCAGCCCGATAATGATTTGCCGAAGGAACGAGCGTGAGAGGGATTCCGGGATAGCACCATAATTACGGATGAATTCCCGTATTGTGCCGCCCGGCATATACTCCCTCAGGATGAAGACGTGTTCTTCCTTGACCTCATAGCCCAGGTACGAAACCAGGCCCGGCGGATTTGAGGTTGCTAATTTGGATTCCAACAGCACCACCACGCTCTCCGCGCTGTCACCAAGCCCGTCCAGTGCTACTTGCTCTGCTGTGATCAGCTCCGCCGTGTCATCCCTGAGAGCTACAAATACCGGTCCGTACCGCCCTTCTCTGGCTTTGCTTCCCAGGTACCATTTGAAGTTGCTCGAGATGTGGGTCCTGCCGGAAGGCTCGCCGGTAGACATGACGAGGTATTGTAAGCTTCTTAGCAACGATCTTGTCCTTGTTGGCTGCAGGTATGGGTCAAATAGACTAGCAGTGCGTATAAAAGGTCAATTGCAGCGGCAAGGACGATCAAGAGTAGGCGTGCGTACCCAAATCATTTATGTGCAGGCTCTAGGCAACACAGCTGCGCTGGCTCAAACCCCACCAGCAACGTTAGCATCAAGTTTCAGCTTCAGCCGCTCCTGACCGTCAGTTGATGCTGACAGGAATCGTCTGTGTCTAGGCTCCAGTCACCACGCCTGAATTTTCCTTTGCTAAAAATGCAATGCTCTGATCGTCAGTTTGATATCGGACAGTGTCTCTCGAGTCAAGACAAGTTTCGAAGGGACTGCCGCCGTGTGTAGTTCTGGCTACTAGCACTTCGATTTTTGTGAGGTATAGCAATATTTTGAACCCTAGATTGTATCCTACTCGATACTGTAAATACAGTGAAGAGCAAGCTTTTGTGGGTCCTCTGAATTGATTTAATAGTACAATCAACGCGCCCACACTTATTCTACCCACGATGCTGAACCTAAGACTCTACTACTTTGCTGGAATAGCAATAGGAGTGACAACTGAGACGATAAGAAGAGAACGACAGGATTGACGACAATTTTCAAGCAAAGCTGACTGTAAATAATCCTTGAAGATAAGTGCGCACAGAAAAAGAATCCTAATTCAACTATGACACCAGGGGTAGAAACTTCGGGGCGGGTATGCTACGAAGTAATTTGTGCTTGGAGTTATTGGAGCACACAGATGCATTAACTTCAACCACGAAGCTCGCTGCAACCTCTACAATTCCGAATAACCGAGGGCAAACAGGCATGATAGAACGACATGCTAAACCCCCGTTTACGGCCTCATAGAGGCCCCCTGCGGAGGGAAGATACACGGCCTCCGCCTCTGCCTGGTGCCGTCCTTGTGGATAGTGACATGGCCGCGGCACCTCCCCTGGCGCTTGCACCGCCGGCGCTCCCCAGCAGCAGCGCTGGGCTCCACAACAATATGGTCGGGGCGCATGCACTCCTCGACGAGGCAGGTGTGGACGGCCTTTTGGTGGTGCTTGTGCTGCAGCAGGCTGTAGATGGACTGCTCGTCGTGCCAGAGGCGCACCGCCAGCCGCGCGAACGAGAAGTTGTGCAGCTCGCCCGAGTCGCACAGCCGCATGCGCAGGTCCGCCGACGCCCGCCGCGACACCACCCAGCACCCCATCGCCGCGCCGCTCGGGTGCGCCACGTCGAAGAAGGCCCGCCCGGACATCAGCTGCCGCATCTTGCCCAGGATGAACGACTGCGGCAGCCGCATCAGGAACGCCGTCGCCTCGCTGACCGTCGGCCGGTCGTCGTCGTCGAAGATGAGCTTCGGGTTGTGCCCTGATAGCGGGTGTGTGAAGATCTGGTGCTGGATCTGCGCTTGGGTTCGTATTTGGGGTTGTCTTTGGGCTGGAGCCCGTTGGGGCTCATCTTGCAGCCTTCGCATCACGCGTTGGCGCCGTTGCTCTTGCCGCTCGGCTTCGCGGCGCTGCTCTTGTTCCAGCTGCTGCTCCAGCTCGAGCTCTTCCTGTCTTTCCTGCTCCATTCGTTGCCTCTCTAGTCGCTGTCTCTGCAGTCGCTGCGTCTCCTGTTCTTGCCTCTCCTGCTCCTGCAGCAGTGCTCGAGCCTCGCGAGATGCGTTTCGGTGTCTTCGGACCTTCTGCCGTCTTTCAGATTGGCGGTGAGAAATACGCTGGGGAGGAACATCCAGAGCGACAGCCTCTGGAGGAGGAACAGATCGTTCTTCGGCCCGCGTCTGCATGTCGAGGTCTCTCATGAGCTCCTCGACCCGCTGTTGCTGCTCGAGATCATCGATCCGAGCGCTCTGCTCGGCAACTAGTCGCTTCGCCTCCTCCAGCTGGGCTCTCTGCTGCTCCATCTCCTTCTCATGCCTCTCCATCCTCTCCAGCATCCTCTTCCACTCTGCTGCCCTGGATGCCGACTCCATGTCTTCAGCTTCGTCGCGGCGTCTCTTCCTTCGTGAGCGTGATGCACTCTGCAGAGCATCGCGAGCCTCAGAGGTAGGCAGTGGACTGGAGGATCCGGATCGCGGTGTGATGAGAACTCCAGGAGACAACTGTGGGGGTGCAGTCCGGCGGGAGGATGCGAGTGGTGTTACCGGGCTCAACTGAAGGGGAGGCGAGCCGTGATTAAGCGGCCTCCCGGCACCTGGCGAATCCACTACGGACGGATGCTCCACCGTCTGCATGATACGACCTAGTCGCGCCGGCCCACGCCTTTGCTGGGTCTTCTGCTGGTTCTTGTTCCTGGCGGGTGGAAGACTGCGAAAAGGGAGAGAAGAGGACGACGGCACTGGGTCATTACTAGAGATACTCGACCGGTGAGTAGCCTGCACAGGATTGCCATCGGTGAAAACATGAGCAGTCCGCATTGCTCGCGGCTCCGTAGGTGCGTTTCCTGGCGGGGGCCCACGGTTTATGGGCATGAAACCCAAAAGGACAGGAGAGCTGTTGTTTGGGCGGTGGTGGTTGAAGCGAGCGGAGTGATCAGCCTGATAGAGCTGTTCAGCTACTCAATCTCCACAAAATCATAACAGCGATATGAGCTTACCTGGACGGCTGTTGGCACTACAGCTGGTGAGGTATGCGATCTCGATCGGGCAGCCATGTCTGGCCGACCGCGTATGGGCCGCACAGGAAGGTCGATGAAGAAATCTAGCGGTGCATGACCAGAGCCAGTAGATTCCCCATTTTGCGCCGAACGCCGCGACGGAGTGCCATTTACCGGGTTGGCAGAAGTTTGGGTGCCGGCATGCTTTTTTCGTCGTGTCTGTGGGGTTGATGAGCCGATGCTGGAAGCAGGAGTAGACGGTCTGTACAAGCTTCGGCCTGCTTCACCTCCAGATGAAGACCCATCGTTTGAACCTGAATGCGAAGAGGAGTCAGACTCTTCTTCGGATTCTGAAGAATCGGAGCTATCAGGTCCGGACTCTGAGGGCGGAGTTGAGTCGTCTGGGGGGCTAGATCCGCCGTGGACCTCGTTCCGCCTCAATGGCCCTTGGTTCTGAGTCCATCTCGCATGTGAGGCAGCAGGCACAGATGAATATTGCCCTTGGATATCTTGTCTCCCATGCCTGCTTGGCGTAAAACCCCGCTTGACGCGAGGTCGACTGCCTGGCGATGAGGGCTGACGACCTTGTCCAATCTGGCGAGGTAGATTGTGAGACGGCTCTCGCTTGATAGCTTGCCGTCCGGGCTTAGGTTCCCTTTCATCCTCGTCATCGGATAAGATGGTGATGACGCCGGCCTTTGGCGGAGTCAATGTGTATTTGACCTTGCCATTGACTCGCTCTGCTCGAACACTTGGGGCTTGGATATCTGTGTGTCTGTCCAGACGCGGAGGACGCGAAGCATGTTTCCGGTTTTTGAGCTGGCCCATGCTGATCCGGTGAGTAGTGCTTTGGTGATTGATGGAACTTGCCGAAGCTTGGGAAGAAGTCTAGAAAATAAAATCTTTTGTGGCAGCAGACAGCAAGCAGATCTTACAACGCTGTGGCCCAACGCGTCGCGCTTCTGCCATGCCCCGGCGCACAGCCAGGGAGCCAACGCGAAGACCACCGAACTCGCGTTAATTGAGTTTGCGGGATGAAGGGAACGCACATGGTTCGGAAGGGGTACAACAGCCAGGGATGGCAGAGGCCGGTTTGATGTTAGGACTCTCACTCGAGAGTGTAGGGAATTTAGAGTTTGGCTTATCCTTTGGGACCTCTCCCCATTGTACTGTACAGTTTCATCCGTTGAAATTGTCTGGGGTAGGACCCACAAGTACAAAACCCAGCCTCACACGCACAACAAGAGATTCAAAAAGAAAATATTCTATTGGAGCCATAGTATTCACCGCCATTGTGTTGGTGCATCGTGCGGAAGTTGTTTTTGGTTTGATGCTGGAGAGCGGAAGTACACGGAGGATTTCTTCCCAGAAAAAGTAACAACGAAACAAATGTGGACGGAAGTACATGCGGGCCAAGGAGCCTCTGCCACTCGACGACTGTGCCTGGACAAGCATGCAAAGCAAAGCAAACGAATATTGTCGATGTCATTCGGAGAACCTGCGGACAGCCGACCACATAGGTCTTGATCCACATGGAGCTGAAGTGTTCAGATGCCTGCACTGCCTCTGAGACTCGCCCAAACCCACTGAAGATTCAAGGAGAATGGAAAGTGGAAAGGACAAAACTCTTTGAATCCTCGGTGTGAAAGGCGGAGGGGGAAAGGCGAGATTCGCTACGCGCTCTGCATGCCCTTGGCCTGGGCACATTCCGCAGTTTGGTGACATGATCGCGAGGCGTCGATGTGTCTGCACGCACTCAGGACCCCTAAAATGATTTCATGCAGGGGACGACGCCCTGCATGTGACCCAGTGTGGAGAGCTGCCCTCCAAATGTGACAGCTCAGAATGACAGACTGCCACGAGATCCCGTCTCCAAAAGCAAACGAAGTTCTGAAGAGCAAGACGCCTAACTGCGGAGAGGGAAAGGTCTGTGGTCGAGCTCAAGACCAGCCAACCTTCGACGACATTGCCCCTGTCCTCGACTTCGAGTCCCAGGGGACGCACGCACAAACGGGAAGGGAAAGCACAAGGCCGCTGAATCACGGCTCCGATTGGCCTCACATTACATTCCACCCGCTGCCGGGACCAGAAATACTGCGCGTCTCAGGCGCGACGCGCAGTTGAAGCTCACAAGCAAGATCCAGCCGGGGTCAAGAGTGAGACATCGAGCCGCGTGCGGAACATGTCCGCATGGCCCTGAGCTCAGGCCCAACATAAAAGTAATGGCAACGGCCCTGTCAGCGGCAGATATACTGCGGCCATGGCGCGAGACTGAACCCTTGCCCAACCAGGTCTGTCCACTCCGTTGAGAAGGTTCATCGCGGAGGGCCTGCTGCCCTCACCTCATTGCAGCCTGTAGGAAACCCCGGTCCATATTTTCGAGTTCTTTTGAGAGGGGAGAGAGTGTCCGGGTGTGTGCAGTGATCGTTGGCGCCTCTTGCAATCGATCGATCGCTGATTTCCCAACCGAGGGTCCCCGCAAGACCCTCAAGGAAGTGAGATTATATTGTGTTTGAGATACGGCAGACTCTCAGTACGTGTGCATGCAGCAACCACTTTCTTTCGATCTGCCGGTGGTTCTCTCTGGCTGCAAAGGATATGTCGTCGTGACGGATCCCAGGCATAGCTCCCTTGAACTGCTTTCCAGGCTGGGGCGCCTGATAATAGTGCCCAGCAGCAGAAGACAACCACTTGCATGCGTGAACTGGCCCGGCATCTCTGATCTTAGCTGAGAATCTTATAATCGATGGTCAAGATTTTGGAAACATCCAGCCCCTCTGCAGTGAATGCCGATCCAGCGACGTGGTGAGGTGCCGTGCGCGAGGCACAGAGACTGCGCTGTGCTGTGTTGCATTGCCTGATGCCCTCGTCGATGCCCTGCCACTAGGCAGAGCAGACGCGTAGGGAATGGTGGTGTGAGGATGGTGCCCTTCATCAAATGAAACCTCTGGCAACAATTGGTGTGACTATCGTCACTGAGCATGGGCTTCAGTGGGTGGTAAGACGAGAGACAGAGGCACAGGTGATGAGGCAGCAAGCTGTACCGTGTACGTAAGACCGAGAAGTCGATGAGCAATCCGACTCAGTGCAGTCGTGTAATCGTGCAGGGCGTGCAGGGTGAGCGTCAAGACTCCAGATGTCGGAAGGTTGAGTGAACAGCTGCATTGACGACAGGGGGGCGCATTACTCCATTTTTACCCGATCTTTACTCGATAGTTACTCGATCAAAACTGGTGAGGCTATCGCCAGGCCGAGGCTGTTCCGAAAGCGGAAGGACGACAGTCGGCCGGCCCCCTGCGGCTCAGGCCTGGGAAGCCCGAACAGATTAACCCGATCCAGGAATATGCGGGCCGGCAGAGACGGCATGGCCCAATCAGGCGGCCTTGATAAGCAAAGCAGGGTCCTCCTTGGTGACTGCGCTGGCTGCTCTTTGTCGGACGCTCCTTTGCCCCTGGTGGCTCATGGCTGATAGCGTTTCCGACGGCTTTTCGTGCGATTTATTGCCCGCGGAAACACGAGAACGGCCGGCCTAGAAGACGGGACACGGTCGAGCTAACCTCTACAGTCAGATCGGCTACCGCAAACTGGCGGTATGGGCGCTGACTGATGAGAAAGTCGCGACGACGGTCTGGAAAAAAAGAACACAGTACTAGGTGCTGCCATGTGGGGAGCATCGGATCCAGGAGCAGAGAGAGAGAGAGGGCGAGCCATGCTCGTCACTCGTCCTCCTCGTGATCCTGCTGCTCTCTCTCTCTCTCTCTCTTTCAAGAAATTGAGTCAACGGTCGGGCCAGCCTCTCACATGTTTGCTTTCCCTTCCCATCCCAAGCATAACAACCGTCGTCCTGTGGTCCTCTTTGCGCCTTATCTACTGCAAGATAAGCCGTCACCATCCCACTCGCACACTCACACATCCCGCTCTTGTCACCCCTGATAAGGACTTGATTCTGGCAGACTCGCTGCTCTCCTCCGTTCTCAATCCCACCGTTCATTCCTAATCTCCAGACTATCCCTCTTTTTGAAACTGTATCGTGTACCTTTCCGGGCTGAACAACCGTCAAGATGACCGTTTCCACCCCCTTATCTTCCTCTGAGCCCTTGACTGTGCTCGTGTCAAAACGGGCGGTGCTCACCTTGCCCGATAACAGCCTTATCTTGTCACCAGCAACCATATCAGTCTCCCCTTCCACTGGGAAGATCATCTCCATAACCCCAGAGGTCGTCCCGCCCTCTTCTTTCCCACCATCAACCACGTACGTGGACCATGGCTCCAAGCTCCTCCTGCCGGGCCTGGTCGACGCTCACGTTCACTTGAACGAGCCCGGCCGGACAGAATGGGAGGGGTTTGCTACCGGAACCCGTGCTGCGGCGTCTGGGGGCGTGACGACCGTGATCGACATGCCCTTGAATGCCATCCCGCCGACGACAACTGTTCGGGGCTTCGAAGAGAAACTGGCTGCCAGCCAGGGGCAGTGCTGGGTTGACGTCGGCTTCTACGGTGGTGTAATACCTGGCAACGCAGACCAGCTGGTTCCACTGGTGGAAATGGGCGTGAGAGGGTTCAAGGGATTCCTGATCGAGAGTGGTGTAAGTGCTTGCAGTATCGCACGGCTCTGTGGTACACGGCAGACGAAGGGGATCAGAACTAACAAGACGGTTTACAGGTCGACGAGTTCCCTGCCATCTCCTCCAATGATATCGAACACGCCATGCGCGCCCTCGCCGGGCGGCCCACGACCCTCATGTTCCACGCAGAGATGATCCCTCCCATCAGCGACAGCGTCGGAGACGCCGTCCAGGCATCACAACCACCACTCGCCCCCACAGGCGAGCTGACAGCCTACGACACCTTCCTCGACTCGCGCCCACCCGTCTTCGAGACCTGCGCCGTAGAGGAGATCCTGTCGCTCGCCCACCTGGCACCACAGCTGCACCTGCACATCGTGCACCTGTCCGCGACAGAGTGCATCCCGATCCTGAAGCAGGCCCGCAAGGCCGGCATCAACATCACGGCCGAGACGTGCTTCCACTACCTGGGCCTCGCGGCCGAGGACGTCGAGGACGGCGACACCAGGCACAAGTGCTGCCCGCCGATCCGGTCGCGCATCAACCAGGACGGCCTGTGGGCGGAGCTGTGCGCCGACGACCCCGCCGACAGCGTCATCAAGACGGTCGTCTCGGACCACAGCCCCTGCACCCCGGAGCTGAAGCTGCTGCCGGGCCACCTGCAGCGCCCGCACCCCGCCGTCGCGGACGTCGCCGAGGGGTCGCTGATCCACTCGGACTCGGGCGTCGACGTCACCATGCCGGGCGAGGCCAACAAGGCCGGCGCGCGCGCCGCGGGCGAGGGCGAGGGCGCGGGCGACTTCTTCGCGGCGTGGGGCGGCATCTCGTCCGTGGGGCTGGGGCTGCCGGTCCTGCACACGACGGCGAAGAGGCTCGGCCAGCCGCTGACCATCCTCGACATCGTGCGCCTGTGCTCGCAGGCCACGGCCGCGCAGGTGGGGCTGGCGCACCGCAAGGGCGGGCTCAAGGCCGGGCTGGACGCGGACGTGTGCGTGTTCGACGACGCCGAGGAGTGGACGCTCGGCTGCGGCGGCATGCACTGGAAGAACCGGTGCTCGCCGTGGGAGGGCAAGCGGTTCACGGGCCGGGTGCGGGAGACGTGGCTGCGCGGGCGTAAGGTGTATGAGTTCGGCGGCGCGGATGGGGGCTTTGTCAGCGGTGGTCCTGTCGGCGAGGCTATCGTTGAGAAGAGGACGGTGTAGAACGGGTATGTGTTGGTGAGGGCATTTGCATGGGGTTTTCAATCATATGTAGGGCATGAGACTCGGGTATCTCTTATGAGGCGTTGCTTGGGCGGTTGCATTGCGTCTGAGTTTGATTTGATTTGGCTGGAGGATGGGTATCCGGGGAGAATGCATATATATATATACACACGCATATCATGATCCAGAACTTTATCTTATGAGTACGACTTGTCGGTTCCTTTAATGTGACATAAGAGAGAGAGTGGACCTTTTGATGAGGGATTGCGTGACATGACGTGCAAGGAGAGGTCGACGCCTCCTCATCGAGATGCGGCTGGCCCAAGCGAACCCCTCGCGTTCGTTTCTCGTCACATGCAGTCGAGTCTTACAACCGCGTAATGGAAACAAGGATCAGATGCGCCTGGTTGCCTGATCCGGACGCGACACTTTGGAGAACTTTTCGACATTTGCCTGATCAGAGAGAAGGATGCATATTTTGGTGCGTGCATCATTTTCTCCATTTGGACATGTGCCACCAGATGAAGCTTGTCGTAGCCACGGTGCACTACGTGCATTATGGTGCCAACGCGGGCGTATGCAAAATGACTGTTCCGATTTTTGTCGGCAAGACCTACGCAGTGATTAAAAGGTAATTCATACACGTGCATGGTAACATAGATGTGCGGGTATTGTATTTGATTTCCTAAGCTGCGGACTTTCAGTTTTATATACAAAAGCCATCACAGACAGCCAGCCAGCCCAACGCCAAAAATCAAACAAGCAAAGCCCTCACTCAGAACTTGTTCTGGTTCGCGTTCTCCATCAGCATGGTGTTGTCGGGCTTGTACTTCTTGGACACGAGGCGCACGTCGTACTCGACGTCGAGCACGGCGCCGTTCTTCTCGCCCGTGACGGGCTTGAAGTTGAGCAGCAGGTCGGGCTTGACGGCGCAGGCCGTGTCGGTCTCGAGGTACTGGTCGTCGGACGGGTACAGCTGCGCCGTGACGCCGACGTAGTCGTCGTGCGTCACCATCATGTGGATGTGCGCCGGCCGGTACGGGTGCCGGCCCATGATCTTGAGCAGGTCGGCCGACGGGCCCGACGTGTCGATCGCGTACTCGGTCGGCTTCAGGCAGTAGAACCAGAACTTGCCGTCGGCGTCGGTGCGGAACTTGCCGCGGAGGTTGTGGCGGGTTTCTGTGTTACGAGGATGCGAGGGTTAGCATAGATGCGGGTGCGGGTGCGGTTGGGGGGCGTTTTATGCACGAGTGCGGCGTGGGTTTTTGGTTGTGTAACGTACGGTTCTCAGGGTCAAAGACATCGTATTTGCCGTTGGTGCTGGCCTGCCACATGTCGAAGACGGCGTTGGGAATTCCCTTGCCCGTCTCAGCATCCTTGATGACGCCGTGGAAGTGGGTGAGCTGCCCATCCGGGGGCATGTTCTGGACTACGCTGGCACCATTGTCGCGGAAGGGCGTCTCGGGCGACCAGAAGGGCCCGAGGATGGTGGAAGATGTGGGGACGGCGCCATTGGCGGTGACGACCTTGTGGTTGATTTCATCGACGAGCCTGGAGAATTCAGGTTGGATTAGTTAAGCTGTTTGGCTCACCCTTCCCCCTGTCCCGGGAAGTGGATGGAGGGGCAGCCCGCCAGAACGAACTGCCGGAATAGTGACGCAACAGGGTAGCTAGATTGGGTATGGTAGAATGGAGGGGAGCTCACGATTCAATACCGAGGATGTCGCACACCCGCCATGCCTCGTTGCGGTTCTTCTTGTAGGCCTGGCCGATGGAATTTACGTAATTCACGCCCAGTACCCACTCGTCCTGCTTCAGCTCAACCTCTCTGCAGAAGTCGTGCAGATGGCGGATCAGCGAGGTCAGGATCTCTCTGTGCCTGGGCTTTGTCTCGGGGCTCATCAGCTCGATGACATGTTGTGTGAAGTTTGGGTCGTATTTGCTGTTGTTGTCCTTGACACCGTTCTGGCCGTTCGCCCCGTTGGCGGTGCTGGTGGCGCTGGCACCGTTTGTGGCGGTAGTAGCCATTGTGACGGAATGTGACTTAACTGGCGGGGTTTCGCGGGGAAGATGGGTACGGAGAGATCGTGGTCGTGGGTAGGTATGCAGGCAGGAGGAGAGAGGATACGTTGTCTTGTTCGTTACACAGGGAGCGCAGACTCGCCGCAGAGAAGTTGGTTCAAAGAGAGATCTTTGAAAGGTGATGGAGTTTAGTCTTAGCTTCATTTTCTACAACTACGAGGAGGGCTTCAATGGCATTAAGTAGGACCGGCTTGGTGACTTCTGAAGATTGATAGTCCGGGGTCGTATGACGCGGCAAGGTGGGCGGCATCGATGCTCCACGGGTGGCAGAAGAGCTCGGTATTTCAGCAGGGGCCAAGTGCTGAGGGGGTAAACTTCGATCCGGCCCGCCGCGATGCTCTCGGGGCGCGAGGTAGCCGTCCAGTGAACCCGTGGTTGCAGTCTGGAAATGTCGGTACATATCGCAGCCTTACAATATTACCGAGACATATGTGTTAGGATCATTCGATGTTGAACCATAGTGTTTGCATATATGCCCGGTCGAGGCCTGTCATGGGCGACGTTGCAGTATCTATCGACCTAGTAGTGTCCTACTCGAGACACACGATACAGACCTCATAAGGTTTCCAGACAAACAGCCAGACACACCATCCACAGCTCTCCCCGCACAAAACAATTTTCCGACATTCCCCAGATTTTGTCCTTGAACACATGATTTACGACTCAATTGCAATCCCAAATGCAGTGGCGCGTAAATCATTTACGCGCTCGCAGGCAATATTGCTGACCTCTCGCGAGAATGCTTAGCCGCGGGGATTCCAGTTATAACGGACCAATGCAGAGAGTGCGAGATGCGATGACCTGGGCCGACAGACTTGGCCGACAAAGCTGGTGCAGTCCCCTCTCCGTTTCCGCGCTGGTTTCCGCAGTGGGCCATAGTCAAACCATCGGCCGTTCATAGGCCAAGAAGAGGCACACTGCTGTCTGTGCCTGATTTTTGGCTGGAGTAGATATGATCCCCCCTCAGTCCCCCATCCCCCACACCCCACCTCCCGGCTCACTCGGCGTACTCCAGCTTCTCCCCAGATTACCTAAGCCATGCTCGGATCGCCAGCCGGGTGCAGCTGCTGACAGCTCTCAAGCGAAAACTCAATGCGTCGCCTGTCGTGTCACGGACGACGAGATCTGGCAGATTGAGTTTGTACGACTCACACTTACGATCATCTTCATCGTCAAACACTGATCCATGGCACTGGCCTTGACACATGCAGTGCATCTGCACATGCAGTTCTCCTTGCGATCCCGATCCCGAGGTCCCTGAGATCTCGACCTACTGCGGATAGAGTTCTAGAAGAAAAGAAGGCCACATGACTCTGCACGTCCAAGATGCGGGGGGGGGGGGTGATAGAAAGATCGTGTTCGGATACAAAAGGGTCCAATTCGCAGATTTGTCGATAACATTCCTCATTGAGTATCATGCTCGTCTCCCAGTGGCTCAGCATGCCGGGATGCACACCAAATTCGTCCACATCCTTGGGTGAGGATCCGAGCCAAGAGCTCCAACAAGCGGGTAAAAGTCCAGGCCCATGGTCCGCAAGCGTGGGATGCCACACGCCTGAGTGCCTTGTGCTCACCAGCGTTACACTCAATCATAAATCGTAAGTGCCAAAGCGGTAATGGTGGCATAGGCCATCCTTCGCTTATATTTTTAATGGGTCCCCGAGCTCCTTTCCATCCCGGCAAACATGTGCTGCCTATGTGAGACCCGTCATCTCGTGTTGAATAAACGGTCATCCATCTTGCTCTTGATAATCTGACCTCAAGACCACATCAACTATGCATAGGTCTGTTCTCTGTGTGACTTGACTCGACGGTTGCCGAGGTCAATTCGAATGTTTTTGCACCAGATTTGACAAAGCTGTGGCGTACTGCCTGGATCAACAAGCCCCAGGTGCCGCCCATCATGGCTTCAACCCTCGCCAACGAGTCGGGAGGCTCAGATGAGGCTGCAACACAGCTTCAGCACGAACGCCCGGCCTCTTCCGTCCTGGAACTGGACAAGATAGACAAGATCGACCGGGCCAGCTCCGTGGCGACGAGCATGGACGTTCCTGCGGGCGGGCCAAATGCGCATCATCTGCCCCTCGGTGTAGGCAACCACCTGAGCCTCGACGATGTTGCGCCCGTTGATGTTCAGATCCGAAATCTTAACGTCACCGTGGATACATCCCCTTCCATACTGGAGCCGGACACATACCCAGCGTTGCTTAAGGACCGTTTCGGCGGCTCCAAGGCTAAGCCCGACCCAGCATCGTACACCAAACACCTGCTGTCGACCGTATCCGCATCTCTCGTACCTGGCACACTTACCGCTATTCTGGGAGGTTCTGGCTCAGGCAAGACGACACTGCTGAACACCATTTCCTCCCGTATAGCCTCATCTCGCCTCAGCCAGTCCGGCAGCATCCTCTTCAACTCCCAGCCCAGCATTGACGCCATCCGCTCGGCATACGTGACCCAGACCGACAGTCTGCTGCCGACCCTGACGGCGAGGGAGACGCTCCAGTATTCAGCCGACCTCCGCCTCCCGCCGCCCTCGACGGCGGCCGAGCGCCAGCGCGTCGTGGAGGAGGTCATCATGGAGCTAGGGCTGAAGGAGGCGGCCGACACTCGCGTCGGGAGCACCACGCACCGCGGACTGTCGGGCGGCGAGAAGCGACGCGTCTCGATCGGCGTGCAGATGCTGGCGAACCCGAGCGTGCTGTTTCTGGACGAGCCGACCACGGGCCTCGACGCCAGCAGCGCCTTCCAGCTCGTCCGCACGCTCAAGAACCTCGCCGCCAAGGGCCGCACCGTCATCGTCACCATCCACCAGCCGCGCTCCGAGATTTGGGGCCTGTTCGACAACCTTATCCTGCTGTCGCGCGGCGCGCCCGTCTATTCAGGCCCGACGGCCGAGTGCCTGCCATGGTTCGAGGAGCTGGGCTTCAGGACGCCGCCTTTCGTCAACCCGGCCGAGCACCTGGTCGACCTCGCGGCCGTGGACAACCGCACTCCGGAGCTGGAGACTGAGAGCTTGGAGCGGGTGGAGAGGCTCAAGGGCGCATGGCGAGAGGAGAACGAGAGGCGCTTTGCGCCGACGGAGAAGGGAGCAGAAGCGCCAGCGACAGAGCGCGGGATGGCACTGAGGCGGCACACGAACGCGACGTCCTTCGCCCGCCAGATGCGCGTAATGACCTCGCGCACCTTCAAGACGACATACCGAGACCCGATGGGCATGATGGCGGCGATATTGCAGGCAGTCGTGATGGGACTGTGCACGGGGTACATCTTCTACCAGCTGGGGCGGGACCAGGCCGGCATCCGCTCGCGGCAGGGCTTTCTGTACACGACAAGCGCGCTCGAGGGCTACCTGTTCCTCGTCTTCGAGGTCTACCGCCTCACGCAGGAGATCGGCGTCTTCGACCGAGAGCACGGCGAGGGCTGCGCCACCGCCTTGCCGTTTCTCGCGTCCCGCCGCCTGGCAAGATTCATCACAGAGGACTTCCCCGTGCCGCTCATCTTTTCGGTCATCAGCTACTGGATGGCCGGGCTGGACCAGCACCCGCAGCGCTTCCTGACGTACTTTGGTATCGTGCTGCTCAACCACTACATTGCTGTCACCTGCGCCATGTGCTGTGTCACGGCTAGCAGGAACTTCCCTGGTGCGAGCCTTATTGCCAATCTGGCGTATACGTTGCAGTCGATGGCATGCGGGTATTTCATCCAGAGTAACAGCATCGCAGTGTGGCTGCGGTGGTTGAAGTACTTGACTTATACGGTAAGCCGGTGTATGTGCTGTCCATGATTGATTGCGTTTTACTGACATGTCGACAGTACTACGTCTTCAGCGCCCTCTGCGGAAACGAGTTCCACGACTCGTTCTATGACTGCCCTTATCCCGGTGGCGAGTCCAATCCATCTTGCGCTCCTTTCACCGGCGCGTATATCCTAAAGTCACTGGGGTTCCCCAAGGATTGGCTGATAGCGCCCATTGTAATAGCACTAGCCTTCGTGATCTTCTTCTACACCTTGTCTTGGATCGGCCTCACCTTCGTCAAGAAGGAAATGACCATCGCCCGAGCCCGCGTGTCAGAGCACGATTACTCCGCAGGCAAGGAGAAACTGGCCGCACGGTCAATAGAAGAAATTCGGACCATTGATCTTGGGCTGGAAAAGTTCGCACTCGATTTGGACAAGAGGTCGCCGTGGGGAAAGAAACTGCCTAGGAAGACCATTCTGCACCCAGTAACGGCGACGTTTGAGGCGGGAAAATTGAATGTGATCATGGGCCCTAGCGGGAGTGGCAAGACGTCCCTATTGAACGCCATGGCGTTGCGGCTCAACAGCACGCTTGGCACCAAGTACCGCCCGTCCGGCAAGTTGACGTTCAACGGCGCAGAGCCTTCTGACTCAGTCATTCGCTCCGTGTGTTCTTACGTCTGCCAGGATGACGATGCTCTTCTCCCGTCCCTAGCTGTGCGCGAGACATTGCGCTTCGCGGCTGGTCTCCGTCTGCCGAGTTTCATGAGCAAGGAAGAGAAGAATCGTCGGGCTGAGGAGGTACTGCTGAAGATGGGTTTGAAGGATTGTGCGGACAACCTCATTGGCAACGAGCTGGTGAAGGGTATTTCTGGTGGTGAGAAGCGCCGTGTCACAATTGCTGTCCAGATTCTGACAGATCCTCGTATCTTGCTTTTGGACGAACCGACCAGTGGGTTAGATGCCTTCACGGCCAGCTCGATCATGGAGGTCCTGCGTGGTCTTGCCGCTGAGGGTAGGACTCTGATCTTGTCGATCCATCAAGCCCGGTCCGACCTGTTCAGCCACTTTGGCAATGTGCTGCTGCTTGCTAGGGGCGGCAAGTCGGTGTACAGCGGGGCAGCCGGTGAGATGCTGGGGTACTTTGCACGCGTGGGCAAGGAGTGTCCTCGCAATACCAACCCTGCGGACTTTGTGATGGACCTCATCACGGTCGACCTGCAGCAACAAACTCGGGAGGAGGAGACGAGGAAGTCAGTCAACGTGTTGATTGAAGCGTGGGATAAGAACCTCCAGAACCCCCAAGTTTCCGATACACCTGGACCATCGGCCCAAGAGAGGCTGGAGCCCATCACCGAGGAGAAGACCAGCGGATCCCCACGGCCGTCCCGAGACAACGCCACCACCACCGCCCAACAAGGCCAGCCCCGACGATCCAACGGCAAGAGCCACCTCGCCACGCCCGCCGAGCTTGGCGCGCTCGTCCGCAAGCGAACATCGTTCATAACATCCTTCCCGCTCCTCCTCCACCGCGCGACCATTAACTTCCGGCGGCAGCCACCCCTTATCATGGCACGGCTGATGCAGGTAGTAGGTCTGGCGGTGGTGCTGACAGCTTTCTTCGCACCGCTCAAATCAGACTACACGTCGGTGCAGAACAGGGTCGGGTTCGTGCAGCAGGTTGGGTCGTTCTACTTCGTAGGGATGCTGCAGAACGTCGCGGTGTACCCGGCGGAGCGAGACGTCTTTTATCGCGAACATGATGACGGGGCATACGGCGTGGAGTCCTTCCTGCTGACATACACGGCGCTAGAGCTGCCGTTCGAGATCGTCTCGACGCTGATCTACGGCGTGCTGGCGGACCTGGCGGTCGGGTTCCCGCGCACGGCCGAGATGTACTTCGTGTGCGTGTTCGCGTGCTTCGGTATCGTCAGCTGCGGTGAGAGCCTGGGGATCATGTTTAACACGCTCTTCTCCGACCACACCGGCTTCGCCGTCACGCTTACCAGCATCTTGCTGTCTGTTGCTAATATCATGGCTGGCATCATGAGCATTGACATGCCTGCCCTCTTCGACGCCTTCAATTACATCAGCCCTTGCCGCTATGCGGTGCGCGCCCTGGCGCCTGTCAGCCTGCGGGGCCAGCGGTTCAGTTGTGATGCGGACCAGAGGTTGCCTGATGGGAGTTGCGTGCTTGGGACGGGCGAGCAGGTGCTGGATCTTTACAAGCTGAATGTGGACGTCGTGGTAAATATTGCTGCGCTGGCCGCTATGATCGTTGCGTACCGGCTTGTGGCATGGCTTTTGTTGAGGTTGGTTCGCACTAAATGGGAGAGGAAGGGGAAGAATGTTAACCAGAGGCGAGGTCGTGATACCTCTTCTTTTGATGCGCATTCTATGGAATAAATTAGTACTCACTTGGTTGGAGGTTGTGCCTTGGTCGTGTGTGAATTTGAGAGGGGCGGCGGTGGGGGTTGCTCCAGGCAAGCACCCAAGGCCCCGTCCCTTCTTTATAAGCCAACCTTTCCTTGAACCAGCACTGATCAACTGGCCAGGAGGTGTTTCTGGTGCAATCGGTAACGCTTCGGTCTTTCTTACGGGAAATTGATCGAGCACCTGGGGTACTCGTTGACGCAATGGGCCAGGTTCACTCCGGTATGCAAAACACCTCGAAAGTGTCCTGTTCAATTCCTGGAACTTGCACACCTTCTGCTCCTTTTTTACTTTTTCCCTCTTGCCCCATATCCTAGTCTCGAGCTTTTCTTTTCATTTAGATTACTCGAGAGACTGCTTATCTTCTCATTTTCTTCCTCCACAAGGTGGACATCACTACGGCGAGCTGTAGATAGTCCCATGAATGGTAGACAAACAGCGTGTGGGTACAATTTGTATTTCAATGAACGTATTATCCTCAAATGCCCTCGAAAACTATGGATTTAGGTACATATGTACAAGAGAATCGAGTCCTGCCTCGATTGTGCGAAGCAGAATCTGCACAGTCAATATGTCCACTTGTACTCCTCAGGGAACTGTAATTGGTGCCAGCCATGGCAATCAGTAGGGAACCTTCATCAGAGACCGTCTGAATCCGCAGACCGTGTATCTCATAGAAGAAACAAAAATGAACCAAGCTGCCCCATTTTCGTCGACTTCGTTGTGAAAACCTTGAGAGGTATCTACACTCGACGCGCCGTCCAGCGTCTCTGGCCTCCTCGACGTCTGTTGGTTGGTCGAAACGACAGATCGATGTCTTGGTCTGGCCGAGGGAGCGGAATAGGTGGGCGAGTCTCGAATCGCTTTGCTGGCACTCTGGCAAGAGAAGCTCGAAGGCTTCTACGAGCACTGTGTTTGCCCCTGCCCGCCCAGTTGCCTCTGCCCGCCCATTTGCCTCGTGCTCTGCCATTGCGCTTGGTTTTGGCTGCCAACGAAATTTCCTTGTTAATTGTGCTCATAACCATGAAAAACTTTGAAGGGAATTGAAGACGTACCATTGCGTTTGGCGTACAGCTGCTTTGGCTCTGGGTGCAGCGCATCAAACTCGTCCAACTCAGCGGCATCGTTCTGCTCAAACCACTGGAGCAGCCTGTCGATTATAGTTAGAAGATCGGTGCTTCCGTCTAGAAACTTCTCGTGCTCCTTAAAGGGGCGGTTTGCACCCAAGAGCATGAGTGTGACATGGCGGGCAAGATGCGGGCTGAAGTCTCGGGCAAAGGAAGACTCCTCAACGACTGCTTGCCAATGTCGGTCACGAAGTTCCTGTAGGCTCAGGCGTGGAGATGCATCTTCCTTGTTCTCTTTTCGCTGGCCACGGAGTCCGTAGACAGTGCGCAGGAATTGAAGCAGCGCATTCGAAGTCCTCGTTCGTCCCAAAGCGTCGACTGCAGCATTGTTGCCTTTGCAGGCAGCGATGACGAATGCCTCAGCGTCCTCGTCGGTGTCAAACCATCGACTGGGAAGCAAAAGGTCCTGCTTCGGTATGAGCTTCAATGCCCGCTTCTGAGGCTCGATCACAGGCTCATCCGTGTATTCATTGTTTCTCTTCTTCTCGGCAATTTGCTCTTCCTCTTGCTTCTTGATGCTGATGACGCGTAACTTCGCACATTCGAGGTCAGGGTCCCAATTTGGATGTCCCGGTCCCTTCTCGTCAAGTTCCTCTGGGGGTATCGGGGTCATGTAAGGCACGAATTTCACCATGATCTAGGCACCTATGATGTCAGCATTTGCGCCTTCATAGGCTTCATAGAATTATACTGTTCAAACGCACGAAGTTTTCACGTGTTATGAATTCACAAACGAGGACTTGCTTCAGTAGCAACCTTTCGGGTTGACTGATTTGGATTGGCAAGATAGAGAACTTGCAAGAGGGTGAAAAGCAGGGCGCAGACTGTTTCGTGGCAGAGGAAGAGAAAGTAGTGCGCAGGACATTTCCTCAACAAGAAAGACAAAGTAGTGCACAGAGTGTTTTACCAACGAGTCGTAAAATGCAGTACGCAATCTGTTCCTCACGAATGAAAGAGGAAGTAGTGCACAGGATGTTTTGTCAACAAGGACGAGAAGCTAGTGCGCAGACTGTGTCGCACGAAATGAAGAGATTGGGAGATGTTGTGGGAAAAGGAGGTGAAAGTTGGTGAGATAAAGTAGGGAAGGGAAAGGTAGGGAAGTGAAAAGGAGGTTGGGTCGCAGAGATGGCGACGGGCGTGTTTGTTTTGGGAAGACGGCAAAGCTGCTAGGAGCTGTCGAGGTAATCCAAGCTGTCAGCGAAAAACCACTACCTTTTGTTTGAGCTCTGGCGAGACCCACTCCAAATAATCTTCAGACCGTTTGTATTACATCTAGGAGGCTCTGCTGTTCACTTCAAAGCTCGTCAGGTATTCACTTGGACTCTTGCCCTCTGCAGACTGACCTTCCACTGTGACGAACGAAGGGATTTCACCATTCACATTACTGAGCCTCCAGCAGCACTTCCAGATTCTTCCAATACTTTGATGATCAACTGAGCTCATGATGTCCTCCTCCCAAGCCACCATAGTCGACCTCGGTGTCGATGACGACCCCGGCGTCATCGTTCGCCAGTCGCAGTCAGATCTCCGGTACGTCTTAATTACATGGATCGTTTGAACCTTTATGGCATCTAGTCCCATTCTGACACCTGGGCAGGCTTCTCGAGACAGGAGAGTTTTCAAATTTCACAGTCGTTTGTGGAGACCGCGAGTGGAAGGCCCACAAGGCCATCATCAGTAAAGTCCCGTACTTCAAGGCCATGGTGGGCGGCGGCTTCAAGGTACATCATCATGCACATTCCTTGCACGAAATTGTACGAAGTAATCGCTAACGAAGCGATGATTTCAAAGGAAACCATCCAAGAGAAGACTACCATCAAAGAATTCTTCGAGCCCTTCGAGATACAGTGGCTTATGTCGTACATTTACTTCCCTCGTAAGCGCCTCCTCCCATCCAGATCTCCTCTTTACATGGGTGGTAACTGAGTCTGATCTGATTGCGCATTTGAACAGATTTTGACTTGGAGTCTGCGCGGCTCGATACTGCTAGCCAGTCCCACCTCGAGACATGCGTCAGGCTGTGGCACATTGGCGATTACTTTCAAGTCGACCGCATGTCAAAGCTGGCCGAAGACAAGTTGAAAGCTGGCTGTGATCACTGGCGCCAGTGCTCTGGTACAGTGGATACAACAAAACATGGCACGTCCTTCATCGTCGATCTCGAATCCGCCATACGACAGGCCTGGCGGCAGGATCTTGTCTCAGGTCCTCTGCAGGCAATGCTTATCAGTCTTTGCCTCGATTTCGCCCCCTACGTGCGACGCCACGAGTCTTTCGGTGCGCTGTTGGAAGAGATACCTCAGTTCGCAGTCGTCTTTTCCCAGCGAGCGTTGGGCTCCATCATATCGAGCCTGCGACTGCCAAAGCCAAGCCAGATTATGGATCCGGGTCCGATTCACGACGACATACTCTTCGCAATAGATATACGTCGCAGCTTTATAAATCTTACAGCAAACGAAGAACGCCGCCGCCTTCCTTCGGGTACGCAAAGGCTTGGGAGGACTACAAGCCGTGGAGCATTTCGGCCGCCCAAGTGATGTTGGCAGTTGTGGAAGATAAAAATACCAGCAAAGTGCTGGTCGCGTCAGAGATTGGGCAGGGATTTTGAAAGGTCGTTACGCCTTTGGATCATTCCAAGATCATTTCACCCAAGGAAATCAGAACAGGGTGTGTTCTGGAGACAGGACATCAAGGAGTGCAGGCGAGGACTCCATAGCTATCAGAAACCCACTCCGTATATGCGAAGTTTATGAATAAATACTCAATTGTCTGGAGTCGCATTACAGTTTGTGAGAGATCCAGAAAGGTTATCCCAAAGGAGGGCATAATAGGAAATCGTGCACGCTCGGATGTTTGGGCCACTTCGAGATGCGTTGTCTCACCTCACTCCGGCAAACCTGCGGTCTTTTGAATGGAACATGGAGTGGAAGCTACCGGCCGTCATACTTGGAGTCGAATGCTTCATAATCGACCTATGCATCCTTTTTTGACTTGGCTGAGGGGGTTAAAAGCGGCTGAGTACAGAGGGCAATTAATATCTAGGTACTGTAGTAACAAATTACTAGATGTCTACTGCTCACTTTTGCGATTTATTTGAAGCTGCTGTATGGCTGCTGCATGACAATTAATTTTCTTGCTAAAATGATGGATATCCTGGTTTAGTGCACAAGCTTCGCATGCCCGACCATTATGCCATCATTATCCTTCAATTGCGGCTTACATCGTATGCCGCCATCAAAGGCGTGGGGGTTGCTCGTGAGAAACGAACCGCTGCCGCCATTTGCCACCATCCCACGCCCTCAATTTTTGATAGACCATCCGATTTGGGGCCTTCAGATCTTTTATGTAGAAACATTTTGTGATTCTGGCAGGACTGGACAGCAGAGAGCCTTTATTAGGTGCTGGGATCTAGACAATTAGGTGGTCTAGGTCGTATTATTCACTCTGCAAACCGATGACTGAAAGTTGAGAGTGGTAGTGAATTCTTGGATATTTCTGAAGGAAGGCACGGGATTCAGTCCAGAGTGAATTTCAACTGCTCAAGTGGTAACTAAATATCATTGCTCAACTCTGAGATATACAAGTTCTTCCCCTCAAGTACTCTGTTATTCTCAAACGTCGCCACAAATACAGACAATAGCAATCGCTCACAATGTGTTCCGCACATGAAACAGAGGATTTCGAGGCATTATGTGCCCACGACATGAAGTACGATGGATTCTTTCATTTCATATCACGCGTAGTACAGAAAAGCTGACTTATTTATGCAGACTGCTGGAGACGGGAGAGTTTTCTGACTTCACTGTCATTTGCGACGATCAGACTTGGAAGGCTCATAAGATTATTCTCTGTCGCGTGGACTACTTCGAGAAAATCATCACGAATGGATTCAAGGTATGTAGTCTTTCTTATATCCTGCGCTGGCTAAAAACTTGCGACATGATGATCAGGAAGGTGGCTGACGGGGTTGACTGCATAGGAATCGCAGGAGAACCAGATCAACATCCAGAGCTTTGAGCCCTTCGAGATCAATCTCCTGCTTCAGTACATCTACCATCCTAGTATGACTCTATTCCTTGCTGAATCAGTGTCTGAATCGTTTGAAGCTCATCATTCTTGTGCAGAGATCGACGCCGAAGATGCTAGCTTGCAGATCCCGTCTCACTCCTTTCTCGAAACCTGTGTCCGTCTGTGGCAGCTGGGAGACTACTACAGAATGGAGGCACTGGCTACGACAGCTTTCGACCAGCTGAAGGGCCGACTTCAACGCTATCACCAGCAATCCGGTCATTTGGTCGAAATGCTGAAGGGTCTCCCCTTTCTGTTCGACTTGGAGTGTGGGATCCGTGCAGCATGGGACCCCGAAAAAGCCGCAGGACCTCACCGAACTTGGTTGGCCTTATTTTGCCAATCTATCGGCCACTACCTTCGAAAGTACCCCACGATCATCACACTGTTCGACGTTTTCCCAGAATTCGCTTCCGAATTTAGCAAGGCTGTCATTGGCTGTTTTCTCGACCACTCTGGCAAATTTCAGGGGCCATATGAGCGAGAATGTGACGGATGCCACGCACTTGTGCAGTTGGATCATGAAGACATGTGGGAACCTGGTACAAATCAGGTAATTTACCACCCATCGGGCTCTCTCGCAGTGCTAGATGGTGTTGTTGATGATGTGTGTTGCTCGAGAGAATGCCTTGAGAAAGTGATATCCCCCGAACTCGTGCACCCTGATTGCGAGATATGCGAGGAAATCGGGGCTCAGGAGGATTAACTCATTATGCGCATGTCTCAGACCTGACTGATTGCTGGAGAACTATCAACGGAAGCGCAGTGACTGTAGATAGTACTCAATGCAATACTGAGGACAGCAACAATGCCGCCGGATTAGACTCACATCCCAGTAGACCATTTCACAACTTCATTCACAAGCACGCTAAAATTCTTTTTTGAGATAACGCTGAAAATAATGATATCGTATCCGAGGTGCAGAAGTACATTGCGAACATTACGTTCTAACAACATTACGTTCTAAAATACACAGGTGGAAACACTACTTCGTAAGACGGTTTTCCCTTGGGCAACCAAAGCCCGTAGTCCTCCGCATCATCGTCCATATCATCCAAGCGTGCACTCATAGCAAGAATCCCCTAGAAACCCTGCTTCTGGACCTGAGCCTTGGCAGCAGCAATCGTAGCACTGGCGTTGGGGTCGACAAAGCCACAGCCGAGCTTGCCGTTTTGCTCAGAGGCAGCCTCGGCGGAGCAGATTCCCAGGCCCGAGCCGGAGATCTCGGCGCAGCATGCGGACGAGCAGTCGGCGTCGTTGACGCAGCCTCCGGTGATGAACTGGGAGGCGTCTCCTGCTCCGACGCTCTTGGCGCCGGCGTTGTTGGGGGCGAGAGCGAAAGCGGAGATGGCAACTGAAAGACGATGGATGTTAGATACGCCTGAATAGTTGTGAGGAAGGTCGAGATGGGTACTCACAAGCCAGGACAGCAGCAGCAGTGATGCGAACCATTTTGATTGTTGGTAAGAAAGTTGGTTTGGTATAAAGTGAGTGTCGTATTAATAAGCTGTTCAATGAATGAGCGACGCCGGGCCGTGTAGAAATACTTTAGAGAATGATATTGCTGTTGTGATGACTAGAATGACATAAATTATGGAAGAAGATCACCCTCTCCTTTATATACCTTCGGCTCGCGGGTGTTGAGCCCATGAGGGACGATCTTGACCATTTCAAATTAGACGTCACGTACTACTGCCAAGGGCACCTCAAATCCCCGTCCTTGACCTGACTTCATGCTAATCCGGGTCGTCTCGGATTTCCACTTCTATGTGGAGAGGCGTGTCGACCTTCCACGTCCTACGCTGGCAACCGTCTAGTATGTGGATATGTGGCAGTGGGTACAATGGCATAGACTCGAGCTAGACGAGCATCGGGTGTGTAGCAGGCACACGCGTTTGATTCACCCCAGAACCAGTATGCCAAAGCTTGGCGGCGATCTGCTGCTGGCGCAAGCATTGCACGTCCCCAGGATCACTGCGATCAGCCCGATCTGCGACACGTTCCGCGTTCGGACGACCTGTTCAGCATGAAGTTCAGACGAGTCGCTGTCTCAGCCGCCTCGTCAGTTCGGCTCCGCGCACGTAGTCAGGAGCCATTTGACCGGGCCTGGTCCGTGGGTATTGTCAGCAATGAACCTTGAAAACAAGGTTGACTTTGCTCTGTCGTCTGGATTGTCACCAGGGGAAAGTAACGGCGGTCTAAAGGCGCTTGAATCACGGGAATGTGGGGGCGGATTGAGGCTGATGTGTGACCGACTGCCCCTGGATGGTCAGCCAATGAACTCTTTCACAAAAGTGGGGAGACGAGCTTCGACCGACCTCACACCAACTTTTTCACCTTAGATACTTCACCTCGACAGCGTCCAGAGGAACAGCCACACAGCGTCGGAAATCCCGAGAAGCGCTTTTACTGCCGAGTCCCGTAACAAGCACTCGAAAGGTGGGCGGTCATTGGTGATACGGCAATGGCGTCGATCAAGAGCTTGTTTTGAGCGCTCAATTTTGCCTGAAGTCCCCTGACACGTCTCGGGTGTCGGACCTGGAGCTGCCAACTTTGAGAGTCACCTGGCGGATCTTCGACATCACACCATGCTCTTTTCAGGGGACCAAGTCCCGTCCACTCGGGTACCTGAGATCCCTCCCGCGCCTGGATCCGGCATGACTCCGATATCCGAAGCTTTGACAGTCATCATCACCACCTCGCCCACGCCTTCTGCCCCGTCCACCGAGTTGCTGGACACTATCCTGGCCTCATTCCATGAGCACTGCCCCGTATTGCTGGACTGTAATGTTGTTGTTGTCTTGGACACCTATGACAGGATTGAGCCGGCAAATCGGTTGAAGAAGGGGTTTGTGACAGCGGAAGGCGCCCAGAATTTCCCAGCGTACAAGGACAATGTAAAGACGCTTGTGCTGCGGGAGTTTGCTGGGATTGAAGCATCGGAGAAGCTTATTCTGGTTGAAGAGGATGGCCAGGCGGAGTATGGCTCGCCGTGTATACCGACCAATTCCACGGCTTTGAAGATTCGAAAGACCGAAGACCAGCGTGTCATCTTTATCGAGCCATCGGAGCGCATTGGCTTCGGGCTGGCAGTCCGCTCGGCGCTGAGACTAGTCGAGACTCCGTATGTGTGGGTGCAGCAACATGACTGGAACTTGATCGTCAGCATCCCAATCCAATCGATTGTAGACGTCATGGCAGCAAGTGACTCCAGTGAGGAAGCTCCAGTAAAATACGTGTGTCTGCCTTCTCCCAGAATGCTGGGTTATGCAGACTCTGGGCATGTCAAACCGTTTGCGAGCCTAAGGGAGTCAACTATGACTTTAAAGCGAGACTTCTCAGTGGCGTCGAGCCCGCACACCATCTCGCTGACGCCACTTTTCTTTTGGCACGACAAGACTCACGTCGCTTCAACCCAGCACTATCTCAATCGCGTTTTTCCGTCTCGCCTGGCGATGACGAGAGGGGCATTCATCGAGGACCACATTGGACAGCGAGCAAGGAATCAGATGAAAGAAGGCTTGTTCAAGAAGTGGGCTTGCTGGCTTTACTACCCCGAAGGCGGAACTTTGCAGTGCTTGAGACATCTTCATGGTCGAACTTGGCGCGGGAAGGAGGCTGAGAGGAAGAAAGTGGAAGCTTTCAGGCTGCAAGCTAGTGCCTCCCTCCCTGTTCAAATCAACTGAAGCACAGTCTTGCAGCGAGAAGCGGGTTCACATGGCATCTAATTCCAGGCACCTACCTTCCCACGCCTAAGGTCGAGCTAAAGTCAAGCTGAAGCTACTTACCAAAACTTTCATCCAGAATCTCATCATCCGTCTTCACCTTGCGACAACTCATTTCCCCTTGACAACACCAGTTGACAACTTCACCGACAAAGTCATCGCCATGGCTAGCCCACAGAAGGACCTGATCTGGTCCAGCTCAAATGGCGTTCAGGATCAATATCTCGAGTAAATCAACCTTCTGAACTTGTTTGTTTGATTCAAGGCGGCATTGCTGATTTCGATCATCACAGACTGTTCGAGAGGGGCACACTTTCTGATGCCGTAGTACGCTGTGGCAAGCGCATTTGGAAGGTGCATAAAGCCATTCTGTGCGTCAAAAGCAAGTGGTTCATGAAAGCATTGACCGGACCCTTCAAGGTAAGCACTCATATGACTATGCCCCGCAAGAAATCGTGCTAATAATAAGGCCGTAGGAGGCTGAGACGGGCGTCATCAATATCACTGAGTTCGAGGAAAAGGAAGTCGATTGCCTGCTACGATACATCTACACAGGGAGTATGGCATTTTCTGATTCAACTTGAGGAAAAAAGACGGCTGGCTAATAGTCATCTCAGAAATCAATGTTACCAAAACCTTTTCTAACCAGGCCGCTCTTACCGCAGCTGTCACAGTCTGGAAGATGGGCGACTTCTTTTGTCTTGAAGATCTTCGCAAGGTCGCTATTGAAGGTTTCAACGAGCTAACCCGCCAATTGACTTTCATGCTGTCCACCATGAGTATCACGGACTCTCTTGCGCGAGGGCAGGTTAGAAGCATCGTGCAACAAGTCCAGGCACTGTACAAAGAGAGAAGTGTCGTTCAGGAAATTGTCAAATCCCGTCTCCTGGCCGTTTTGCTCTCCGGCATTCATCTCTTCGCCAACACTCTAGAATTTCAGATATTGCTTCGCGAACTGCCGGAATTCGCCTCAGACTGGGCAGTGGCACTCACAAACAGCATGGGGTCATTGAGCATGCCTCAACGCCCCTTAGGCCGGTGCGACAAGTGCAATGGGCGATTGTCACTGGGCATCGATCGTGTCATGTGGTTCAAACAACAACGACTCGAGGTTTTCTGTGAAAAATGCTTTCCTGACCAATGCCTTGAGAATTGGATCGACGAGGCCATCAAACCCAGCAACACCGACGAGAGCTCCGGGGACTGGGACAAAAGTGACGAGGAGGAGATGGTTTAGTGGTTTTGAATTCCGGAGTCGATTTGGGAAGGCAACCTCTGTGATCAGGATTAAGGTGCAAATTGACCTTGAACGAACATGACCTTCATGAGCTCAGCGAGAGCTTTCACATACCCGCAAGAGGTGACAGAAGGCAAGAAAATTTCTGAAGAACAGGTTTCGTCCTCCTGCATTTTCCTCGTTCAAATGGATGGGCAGCTCTCAGTTGCAGATTCAAAGACACAGGGATAGCATAGCTTGAGACTCAAAGACTCTGGACGAAGAGAGAAATCCAAATAGCAGAGCGTTCACAAGATACTACCCATTCTCATATGTGGCCAAAATTTCACTCTGGACTTGAGCTTGTCTGTGCAATCTTTCAAATCGCCCCAGGTATCGAAGTCATGGCCGTATCATTGGTGTTCGAGGCACAACATTTTGGGTTCTCACAATTGACCATGCAGCGATGGTGCAGGAGTAGCTGGCGATTGAATGCGTCATTTCGAAGAGGACTACCCAACGCGAAATTGGGCTTGGTCGGACTACAGAAGAAGATGGATGCATTCAGAACCTCTGGGTATGGGTTGAATTATACAGCCGGGGACATCAACTCTTCCCCTAGATCATCAACGACAAGCCGGACGCCAGGTGGCTCCGACTAGGTCTTCTGGGCTCTCGCACCCCCTCAGGTCTCGCTCTTGTTCCCTTTGCCCTTGCTCTTCCCCTTATTTGCAAGTCTTTTTCTGCTCTAATCTGGGCTCGAAGTGAGAGTGTCTCTTATTTCCTTTGATGAACGGCTCCATGCATAATTCCGAGCAAGGTCCGGGCTCATAATCAGTCGGAGCTCGATCTTGACGGTACTTTGGAGTGAAAACTTTTCAGCAATCGTTGGGTCCTAATCTCGCAGCCTACCCAGAAAAGCGTCATCAAGTGCTACTTAGTTGGTGCCAAATCGCCAAAATACAGGCTGTTCTGGGGAAGATCCCAAGAGCCTTCAGTCTCTTTGAAGAAGGTTGCCTCATATTCCGAGAAGCATCATCTCAAGGTTGCTCGAATTTTTAGTCTATGGCCGGGGCACTTCCCCTTTTCGCTCACCACCTGTCGTCACCGGGCTCCTAAATCGGAATGGGCGTCTCCTACTGATTGGCCCCTTTCAACAATTCTATTTCAATTTATCACCACTACTAACGACCCTAACACTTTCGATATTGCAACGCTTAGCTGACCCTGTCAAGATGGCCGAGAAAAAAGGTCCTGGCATTTGGGCTATGGACATGAGCACCTTCCAGGAAAACTATCTCAAGTAAGTTCACACCCACACCTCTGACAGAGACCCCTGCCTTGTTTATGCTAATGACACAAAGGCTCTTCGAGAGTGGAAAGCTGGACGACGTGAAGGTCAAATGTGCCGATTACACATGGAAGCTACACAAAGCCATTCTTTGCGCCAGAAGCAAGTGGTTCAAGTCGGCCCTGGCGGGTTCATACAGAGTGGGAAACCCTTTGAAATATTGAGGTGCCCAGCATGTAAACTGATACTGAGACCGCAGGGGACAGGGACCGGAGAGGTCATAGAGGAAGACTTCGAGAAGCTTGACCTTGAACCCTTCCTCAAATTCCTCTATACCGGGTCATTTGACATTCAGAAGTCATACCCTGGCGTTGATGCCTTTGTTGCACTCATGAGGGTCTGGAAAACGGCTGACTACTTTTGCCACGACGAGCTGTGCGATTTGGCTGTCTGCGCGGCCAAAGATCATGCTCAAGAGCTCGCTCGTACGTTCTGCAGTGCTTTCCCAGCAATTGGCCACGGCGACAAGGTAGAAAGTCTCCTCGAAAGTTCGTTCAATCCTGCGGTCAGAACACTTTACGATGAGGCAAATGAAAGCCTCAAATCGAGTTTCTTGCCGATCCTACTGGAACTTGCCCTCGCAAGCACCCACAGGCTCTCCCAGAGCAATGCATTCCAGAGCTTGCTCCATGACACTCCCGGGTTTGCCGTGGATTGGACTACTTCATTGATGAAGAGTTTCAGTACTTGGAGTGCTGTGAGCCGCAAGAGAGCTGGTGGTCAATGCAATGAGTGCGGTAGGGAGCTGGGCGGCGGAGGAACCGTGGACACTTTGAAATGGGTTCGGCACGTGCGTCTGATGGTCTTGTGTGATCGATGTTATCAGATGCCGAGTTTGGCGGAGTGGGAAAACAGAAAGGAGATTGAGGAGAATGGGAGGTGCAAAAAGCGCAAACTCGATTTGTGTGCCGGAGACAGCTGCCAGGCGTGAGGGAAGGACCCACAGGCCATCGTCATTCTCTGAAATGGTGACTGAGTTAGCAGCGGCGACGGAGACGCGGCATGGGCTGAACGGGCGCTGTTCTTGACACGGCAATTTTATTTTGAAGGTTTGTTTGGGTTGTCAAACAGCGGGACTGCCATGTGTCGTGGCCAATTCATGCAGCGGTGGAAGGGGGCAGCATTCCTGAGGTTTCACGAAATGACAGCATAAGCGATGAATTTTGACATGGGCTGCTTTGGTTTCTGAATATGCACAAACAGTGAAGAATTCGGGATGGTATAGCGATGAACGCTAGGGGACCCAACGCAGACACTGCTACCTTTTCTTTCCTCAGGAGCTAAAGTGGCCTGGCCCAGTCATCGATCATATCGAACCTTTCCAAGTCGACACATCCATAAACATGTCAAGTCAAACAAGCCTCAATTCATACACATGGCACGGGTTCTTCACTTTCCCCCCCTTATCACCTGTGTGAAGTATGGAGTAGTCTGGTCAAGGCATCGGCACTAGGCGATGCTGGTCCTGACCCACTGGCCCGGCGAATATGGAAAAGGGGTGCTCTAAAGTTCCTTGTTCATTCAGATATGACTCATATAATCAGATATCTTGGACTATAATTCTAGTATTGCAATTATTCTGGATTTGATCTGCGAAAGAGGCAGAAACCCAGACAATTTTACATATACCCTATGAACAATCTGATGAACCAAGTCCAAGGTGAGGATCAGACACTGCCACGGATTCATATCACTGAGCTTGAATTTGGTTAAAAGTAAGATTTAAAGTCATGATTGATTGCTATTTGGTTAGTAATGAAATAATAGCATGATTTTATGAAGGCTGGCTCATCATGACCGCGCTTCTCGATGAGGATGCAACCGTTATACACCCAGGACAGTCACAGACTGGCCTTTGCTCCCTTTCACATCCACTATCGCATCCTTCTGATGATTTGGATTCTTCGGAAGCTATGTCGTCGTCCAAGTTCTCGGCCGCTGTCCCCAATTGATAGTTATGATAGGCAGGATGATCACGCCTGATTGGGCAAAACAAGGCTGCCAGAGACCAACGAAGAGTATCTGCGCATAATTTGAAAGACTCTTGTGATGGCTGCTCGTTGTAAGTATTCAATGCTTCCAGGAACAACTCGTGGCGCAAATACTTGTGCTCTGGAAAGGCACCTTGGTACCCCTCACGAAACCACTCACAGCCGAGCCAGTGCTCCTTGATGATGGTGAGAAAAGCGCCCATAACAATACAACGCTTAAGGACATCCCTGTGGACTATGATCCGAGACTGGATAGCTCGACCAGCAGCCTGTAGAACAAAGGCTGGGTTGCTCCTGTTCTGACGCACGTCACAGGGCGGGAACTCTCGCCAATTCACGGGCTGGTTGACTGCGAGGGCTTCGTGAACATTGCTCAAGATATTTGCCGACAAGTGCGATAAGACGTACGGCAGTAGACTCTGAGCGAGCTCGTTCTGCCAGCCGGTGCGGTTCGACTTAATCTTCTGCACAAGGTCCCAACGGCCAGATCCAGCAACGGAGCAGCTACAATTTTGAGCACAGCTCGAGTGAGAGAAGATTCCAACGTCTGGAAAATCTCTTTGGAGCTGACGGACTTGCGCTCGAATGTAATGCTGGAGGTCTGGGTCATCTGTTAGACTAGTCAGTGTTAGCAGAGCAGGACAATCGCTTCGATCGACTAGATCGAGTCTTGAAAACGTAGAGCTCACTTGTTCGGAACGAGTAAATGCGTTCGCAAACATGCGTGACATATGGAGTGGGCCAGCCACTGCGCAATTACGTGATGACATGACGGGCGCTCTTTTTGGAAGCCGATATGCTGTGTAGTAGCCCGGTCGTAAAGTCTCGAGTCCAACGGAGCCAGGGTAAGCTGATGCGGATCTATTTCCAAATTATTCTGGACATGACAAGTCTACTTGCTTGAATATTCAATCTTTTATTTCAATATTTTGGAGTGGTTAAATAAGGACATGTTGCAAATTTAGCGTATGTGCGAGCTGCTAGAAGCTACTATAGGGGAGTGCGCACTTGCCAAAGCACTTATAAATTACGCTTTAAAAGCTTACTCTTTACTAAAGCAAACTTAGCTAAGATAATAATACTTTTATTTATACTTTACTATTTATTATATAATTTATAGTGCTTTATAATTATAAGCTTAGCTTACTAATTTTTTTTTTTTAATTAAAAATATTAAAAATTTATAAAATAAAATTTTTTTTTAATAAGCTTTTAATTACTTTTTTTATATATATTATTTAATATATTATATTATTTTTAATAAACTTTTTTTTTTATTATAAGTTTAATTTAATTATATTAATAATAAATATTAATATACTTTTTAATAGTTTTTTAAAATAACTTATAAATAATTTATACTTATAATTTAGCTAATATATATTTTTAAAATTATATTATAAATTAAAAAAGTATTAAAAATATATAAATTTAAATATATTTAATAATAAATTATAATTAAATTTATAAAATATAATACTTTTTTTTAAAAAATAATATATTAAGTATTTTAAAAAATAAAATATTAAGTATTAAATAAAGCTTAATATATAATAAGTAAGCTAAATTATTAATAAATTAAAAAATAATATTTTTAAAATTATTTTAATATTTTTACTAATATATATATTAAAAAAACTTATTAAATTTAAAAAATTTATTATTAATAAAACTATAAAATATTATAATTTTTATTTAAAAAGTATAATTATTAAAAAAATAAGTAATAGTAAAATAAATAAAATAGTTAATAAAATTTAGCTATAAATTTAAAAAAGTATAAATAAATTAATTTTTAAACTTAATTTTATATAACTTTTTAAATTTAATATTTAAAAATAAGTTTTTTTAATATAATAAATACTTTATAATATTTAAGCTAATATAATATTAAACTATTATATATTATAAAATATTATAATTAAAAGTTATTAAATATATTTTATAAAAGTAAAAAACTATATAATATAATTTAAAAATTAATATTAAATTTAATATAAGCTTTTTTTTAATAAATAAGCTTTTAAAATTTTAAATATTAAAAATATAATTACTATTAAAAACTTTTTATATATAATTAAATATTACTTTACTTTAATATAATTTAAAACTAAAATTTAAAAAATTATATAAAATAAAGTTTTTAAACTTTTAAATTTAATATTTAAAAAGTATAAAAAAGTATTTATAAATTTTTTAATATATAATTAAATTTTTATAATTATAAAATTTTTAAATATTTTTACTATATTTAAATAATAAAAGTTATAAATTATAATATTATAAATATAAAAATTAAAAAAATAAGTATAATAAACTTATAAACTATAGTAATATTTTTATTTAAAAATATAAAAAGTATTATATAACTAAATATTAAAGCAGTATAATTTTTTAAAATATTATTATATTAAAAAAAAGTTAAACTAATTAATATTTTAACTATTAAGTAAGTATATAAAATATATAATTATATAAAAGTTAAATATAAATTATAATATTTAATTTATTATTAAATTAAAAAATAAAAAGTAATTAATATTAAATTAAATTAAATTAATTTAATTATTATTTATTAAAATATAAATTAATTAATTATTATAAAAAAACTTTAATATATAATATTTAAAATTTATTAAAAAATAAATACTTTAATAAATATATTTTAGTTAAACTAAATATTAGCTATTTAAAGGTTTATAAAATTTTTATACTTTTTTT